TTATATATTTTCATTTATATTATTTCTTTAGTTTATGATACTTAATAAACTTTTCAGATTTACTTTCTATTACTTTTACTTTTAACATTTTCTTATTATGCTTACATAGTAAATTATTATCAAATATATATTTTATTATACCTTTAATTTTTTTATGTTATTATTTATATATTTAATTACATAAAGAAAAAGATATCTTTTTACTTATTTTTTATTATTATTATACAGAAATATTGTTGAGCTAGTAAGGTTTGTAGTAATATTTTATTAATTATTATTATTTTAAAATATTTAAATTTCTGTTCCTTGTTTTTTTCTTAATAGAAATTTTAAAAGTATTACTTTATTTATATTTATGTGACTTTTATTATATTATTATGAAATACGTATTTTGTCAACTGTTATATTAGTTATTATGTATTTTTTTATTATTTATTTATTATAATATTGTGAATCAATTTTTATTATATATTTATAATTAAGAACAAATATTTATTTAACTGCTATCCAAGTTATTTTGAAATAATAATATTTTCTATAACTATTATTAATACTTTTCCTTATAATATTATAAATAACTATTATTATTATATAGAATAATATATAATAATAAGGTCATTCAATTAAAAATTGTAAAAAAAATATAATTACAGTTCTAATAGATAAAGAAAAGTTTATTTTCAATATATTTTATAATATATTTAAATTTATTATTAATTATTTTTATAATAACTTTTTCATTAAATTATTTAAATTTATTATATTACTTTTTTTTTGCTTTTATTATTATAATTTATATGTAATAAAATTTTTTTTTTATAAAATAATGTTTTATTATATGATTTAATATATTTTACTGGTTACTTTTTTTTTTAATATAGACTTGAATGTATTATTTTTTTATATATTTAAGTTTTTATTATCTATTTCAATATTCATGTAATCATCTTTATTTTTAAAATTATTATTTGCTATAATTATTATTAACATAATATAAAAAAAAATATTATTATATATTTAATAAATTTTTTTAAATATTAATTTTTTTGTTTACTTTGAATTATATTTTCTATGCAGCCATTAAAATATTTTTTTTAGTCGCATTTTTTTATTTAACATTAATAATACCACTTTTTAAGGGTTTGGTAAAGCTTTTATTGCTACTTTTATTTTTTAAAAGGAATAAAATAATAATAAAAGATTTTAACATTAATTAAACTAAAAATAAATTTTTTATATAATAATAAATTAATAAATATTAATGACAATTTTATGATTCTTAAATAATTTTTTTTTAAAAACTTTTATTTTTCAAAAAAAATAATAATATCGATAGAAGAAATAATAATAAGAAATTCTAGTATTTACTAAAATTATAAATCCAAAAAAAAATTTTATAAAATAAATTATAAATAAGTAAATAATAATAACAACTTCTGTTATGAATATTCTAATATAAATATTTTTTTTAGAATATTATTTATGAAATATTATTTTTATTATTAATTATTAATACCTGTGATTCTTTTTTTTCGTATATAAAGTTTTAAAGATATTCTTATTTTAGTATAGCATCTTTATAATTTACAATATTATTTTAGTAACTATGTATAATAAATAGTATTTTATTATTACTATTAATATTATTTATAAACATTTTCGTAATTTTTCTAATTTTTTTTTATTAGCTTAACAAATAATCTTTATAAATATTAGTACTTTTATTATTTTTTCTGTTATTATTTTATTATAATCGACTAAATTGTGAAGCTCCAATTTTCACAAATAAAAAAAACTAAAGTTAATTTTCTTCCTTCGTCTCCCTATTATTTCTATTCTATGCTTATTTAAAAATGTTTATATATTGCTATTCTTTATTATTATTAATATTAATCAATATCAATTTTTCAAAATTTTAATAAAACAAAAATAAATGAAAAAAATATAATATATTATTATTTTAAAAATGAGGAAAAATATAATTTAGAATTAATAAGAAAAAGTAAACAGTTAAAGTAAAAAAAATATATAGGAGGAATAAGTTGAAAAAATGTAAATAATAATAAAAGAAACGTATAAATAAAAAATACTAAATAATGAAAATTTAAAAAAAAAGAGGAATGATAGTGATTGATTGGCCAAAAGTGCTATAATTTTTATGCATACGTCCCTTTTTTTAATATGTTGAAGTCAGAACTTTTTTATTTTTTAATACTTATAAAAAAAATATAAATATTACTTTATTATTAATGCTGCTTATATTGTTTAGAAGAATTATCCATTAGATTACTGTTTATCTTTCATTACTTTGAATTATCTTTTTCTGTAAAAGTTTTGAATGATACTATTTAAAATACAACATTAAAATTTACTTTACAGTTATTATAATGATAATATTAATAAATATATATATTATTATCTAAAAGTAAAATAACATGAAAATATTATATTTTTTTTTATTCATTAAATATATATATATTTTTTGTTAATTTTTAATGTATTTTCTTTTTGTTACGTTCATTAAAAATTTTATATTAATAACATTTACATACTTTTTTATAAGTCTAGTTTTTGCTTTTTTTCATTATATATATTGTTATTTAATACCCAAAAAAATAGATATTATTTATTTTTTCTATTAACAAGTTAAAAATTACTGCACTTTAATTATTTATAATTTTTTTAATTAATAGCGTAACGTTGGATGCGCTGGACTCATTAAAAATCGGCACTGATGAGATTGCACGTGTAGCGCAGGCTTTGAAACCTCGTTACCACTTTGCTGGGGGCGAGGTTTATTATGCCCGTTTAAGTTTTCATTATATTATTACATAAGAAATATTCGACCTATGATTGGTTGTTATTATCTTTATGAAATTATTACGGATTTGTGAATTTTTATTATCATGTTTAACTAAATCGACTTCGTGTGAATAGAAAGTACTAAATTTCCATTGCTTAGTTTTTTTTTTTGGTTAATATCATTTTTTTTACAATGTTGGGCTCGAGGTTTAATTTTTTTTATAATTAAAAGTTTGTTACTTTATCACCATTTCATCACTTTATTTATTGTTTTGTGTATTAATTTTTATAAATTATCACTTTTAATATGCTTTTAAAGCTTTTTGTTGGGCCCTATTACTATAAATTTATTATTAATATTATTGGCTTTTATTTTTAAGGGCGTTTTCTATGAAAGAGCTCCTTACCGTAACACGCCACTTCTTAGCGCCTCTTCACACGTGACTAGGTTACAAACTTTTTATATTTATTTTTAACTGTTTCACTATTTTTATAACCATTAAAGATTTTTGGGCTTAGCCGAGTTTTCTAACGCTGCCAAGCACAGAGTTTTTTTTTTTCTATTTATATAATTTTCTTTATATTTATGGATTTTTATTGATTTTAATGCAAAAGTTTTAATGATATATCAACTAAATAATTATTATTATACTTTGAACATACTTCTAGCGTTTGGCACTTTTTATTTCATTATAATTTTACTGATAATTTCCTGGTATTTTCTTTTTATCAAGAATATTACTGATTTTTATAGTTTATTATATAATATTTATTGCAAATTTATTATTATTCTTTTACTTATTGTTATATTAATTTTTTAAGATGTATTTATATATATCAATTGTATTTTATGTATGTCTTCATTTTTATGAAAAAAAATAGAAGTAATGAAAATATTTTTTCAAAAATTTAAAATATTTATTTCTATGTCTATAAATTTTTAGATTTTAATTAATTTTTTACTTTCATTTTATTTATATTTATTTAAATATTTATTAACTTTTTTACTATTTTATTTCAATACAAATAAATGTGTTATTTATTATTTAATATATTTATTCAAGTATATTTATGCCTTTAACGTTTTGCCGATGAGTAAAATGAAACTTTCATTGTTGCTTGAACAGCCAATTGGTTATCATTATTATTATTGTTGTTTCCCTTATTTTTAATGCAGTCATTGTATCTTGCATATAATAAAATAATGAATTTTTATATATTAAGAATTGATAATTAATTATAAATTTTTATTTGATACTTTATTATTGGTTTACCTTTTGCTATTTTTTTTTAATTAATTCATTAAATATTTTGCGTTTTATATGTTTTAAATTTATAAAATAGTTATCTTTTTTAAGAAGTTCATTTAGTATAATGAAGCTTTTAACAATTGCTTTCGTTTAATGTATTTAATGAATTTTTAAACCTTTTTTACCAATAAAAGTTTTATTTATGAAATTTACTTCTTTTTTAATTATTTTTTAATTAAAAAATCCAAAACTTTTTAATATAATTTTTTTATAGGCACAACGGAAAATCCGTTTGCACGAAATACTTTTAATGAAGTATTTATTATCATAATTTATTTAATAAAATAATAAAATTTTCAAAACTTTTATAGAGTAATTCTTATTTAACTCCCCAGAAAAGTTATTTTTATGCTGAACAAGAAAATTTTCCCAAGAGAAAAGTTTTGTATATATTTTTTTATGAATATCTACATTATATATATAATATATTTTAAGGAAAGTTTATAAAAATTTTTGTAAAGTTTTTATTTTGCTTATGTTTTTGGTAAAACTTTCGAGTTGCTTTTTGTTATATATAATAATTTTTTATGAAAGTTTTGAAAAAATATTATAAAAATTATTAAATAAATAATAAATATTTTGAAGAAAATGAAAAATATATAAACATTATAGAAAACTAATGCACTTTTTGCAATTAAAAATATACCCCAATATTCATGGTATTGATCAGTTTTAATAACGCATTAAAAAAAATTTACGCTAGAAGTCTTACTTGAAAAAAGGGCGCTTATAATATTTGTACTAAATAAACTCTTTCCTCGTTGTTTAAAACTCTTGTGACTGTCAACCTCGTGGTGAATTAGGAGAGCCGGCTATACAAGAATTTTTGCATAAAATCGATAAGCGACAAAAAAGAATAAATTAAAGAAAATTATATTATTTCTTTTATATTTCTATTTTATGATTATTTACAAAAAACTTTTTTTGTATTATCTACTTTTATATAATTTTATTACTATTAATTATTTATATTAATATTATATATATTTTTAAAATCGGTATCAAAAAATTTATATTCTTACTTTTATATTTTTTTATTTTTTATCATTGCATAAAATCTTAATTTAATATATTGCTTTTATAATACTTATTATATATTTATATTTATATTATATATATTTTTTAAAAAATCGATGTATCAAAAAAGGTATCATATTATTCCTTTTATATTTTCTATCTTATTTCATCACTTTCATTTATTTATATATATATTTTTTTTCTTCGATATTTATTTTTAGTAATCTTTACAAAATAACTTCTAATATTTTTTAATATTTTTCACTTTTCTTATATTTTTTTGTTTTGTTATTTTTATATTTTTAAAATGGTTTAATAAAGAATATATATATATTTTTTGTTAATATTTCGAATATATTAATATTTGTATAATTAATAATATTAATTATAATTTTTTGATTTCTTTTACTTTTCACAGTTATCACGTGAATACTTTATTATTATTTACTTTTTTTTTTCTTTATTATTTTTTGTATTTATATTATATCTTATTTATAATAAGAATTCATTATACCTTTCTCTAGAGCGGCGCAATGACTCCGCCGGGATACGTTTGCCGCCTTTGCAAAGTTCCCGGCCATTTTATACACGACTGCTCTCTTTATGGTTCTTTTTATTATGAATTACTAATAATAAATAATAAAAATAATTTTATAAGGAAATAATAATGGATTTTAATCATTATAAAATTATAAAAAATAACGGAAGAAAATGGTATAAAGAAAATAAAATTAGGAATAAAAAAATATTTCGGATATAAGAAATAAAAAATCAATAATATTGATTTAAAAAATATATAGTTATAATAAATAATGAAAAAATACTGTAAAGAAAATAAAATAATGAACTTTAATGATATGTAAAAATTATAATGAAAGAAAATACAAAGTATATGAATTTTATTTATTATTATTATAAATAATGAAAAAATGCTTTATGAAAATAAAATAATGTTTTTAAAATAAATTTATTTTTATAATTACTAGTGGAGAAGTGCTATAAAGAAAATAAAAAATAATGAAAAATGCTGTGGAAAAAGGAAAAAAAAAATTAATGGATTTTAAAAAAAAATTTATAGTAAATATTGAAAATATGCTTTATAAAAATAAAAAACAATGAATGTAAAAAATAAATAACTATAATAAATAATGAATAGATTCTTAAAGAAAGTAAAATACTGAATCTAAAAAAATATAATTATAATAAATAATAAATAACTGTTGTAAAGAGAGTAAAATAATGAATTTAAAAAAAAAATGTAATTATAATAAATAAATAAATGCTTTATAAAAATAAAAAATAATGAAATTTAAATAAATTATATAAATAATTAAAAAAAGTATAAATATTTCTTTTATTATTTATAAAAGTATACTACTTTATAATTTTACTATTGATTATATTTTTCTATATGATTTTATCGTAGGCAATATACCTTTATTTCTACGATATTCACTTTTTTTTATTTTTTGTTATAAAAATCTAAATATATAATAGTTTATTATTTGTAAGTAGTTAATATGTAAAAAAAAGGTTTAAGAAAAGTTTATATTTAGAGATAAAAAAATGTATTGGTGAAAAAAATGGTGTGAAGAAAATAATTAAATAAAAATTTTAATTTTGAGTGAACTATATAATAATAATAAAATTTGCTCGACCATTTTTATAGGAAAAATATTTTTTTTATTAAAGGTTCCATAAACTCAATAAAAAGTTATAATAATTTTTTTTTCAATAATTAATAGTAATAATAAATATTCTTTATTTATTATTACTTATAAAAGTTTGCAAACGCGTGCAGTACCAAAAAGAGCCGGAAGAGGACTGCTGGTTCTGTTTAAAGAGTCCCAACATCGCTAAAAATCTTATTGTGCATGTTGGCGAACATTTTTATTTGGCATTGGCTAAAGGTTACTATGTTGCTTAAAAAATTAGGAACTTGATATTATTATTATTATTATTATTATTATTATTATTATTATTATTATTATTATTATTATTATTATTATTATTATTATTATTATTATTATTGTACTATCAACTCTTTTTCTATATCGCAAACTTTTATTTATTTTCTACAAATACTTTTAATAACGACTAGTTTTTTTTGGTTATCAAAATAAGTATATAAAATAATATTAATTTTTTTATTAAATATTTACTATTTTTATTTTAGTATAATATTGGATCTTTACTATTTGCTTTATTAAATCTTTGTACACTTGCGAATTTATTTATTTAATCTATTACTATAATAAATTTTGTATCATAACTTTTTTTTATTTGTGTTTTTGGTTTGTATAGTTTTTTGTGACTCTTATGATAATTACTTACAAATACAGTAATAAAAGTTATTTTTATTGGTTGAAAACATAAATAATCTCGTCTTCAATTTTTTTTGAACCAGTCGTTGATTTTATTGATGGTTTGTTATTTTTATATAATTTTTTTTGACAAATGGATGTAGTTGAGTTTTTATGAGAAATAAAAAAATAGTGTAAAAAAATTTCCTAAAAATTTTTTTAAATAGCAACTGGCAGTCAATAATGGCTAGAAAAAATTGTTTGTTTATATATATAAAAATTGTTACCCAACAAACGGTCATAAAATATATATACATATTTCCTTTGCTGCAACGAGTTTTTAATTGGTTGTTTTTAAAACATATAAGCAAATTAAGGAATTAAAGTGCGCTCAATTTATTACTACTTTGCTATGGTCACTTGTCCTCAACTAGTCTCTTTTAATTCAACACGTGAGCGTCAATTTTATTAACGAATTAAAAACCTTAATTAAGAGCACTCAATTTATATTCTGGAAAGCAATTTTTGCGAGTGAGTGTAGCTTCAGCAACACGCCTTTTCTCATTGGCTGGACGGGTGGTACATTCTCAGGATTCGCTCTTTTTTATTTTTTAATCGAACCAGTCAGTGTTGATGCTCTTACGTTTGGCGTATCCCTCACGTGATGAAGATACTAGAAGTTAGAAGGCTACGAGGAATTTAAATAGAATTTTTTTTTCTCGTGCGCATGCTTATTAATAAAGGGAATTTTTAATGGCATCATCATTAATAAATGGGAAAAAGAGAAAAATAAAGTTTTTCCTAATAACTTTATAAAAATTGTGTTCAAAAAGTTTAGTAGAATAAAAAAGACCCATTAGAGCTTTTATAAAAAGCTGTATGGATATAGGCGCCATTGCCCGACCAATCATATCGCGTTAGTACCCCTAGCAGTCATTTATTGGTCGTTAAGTGGTTAAGCATATTTTTTTTAAAAATTATTAAATTCTATGCTTTCCGCTTCCTATTTTATTCACATTCGCTTTTAGGTCCGCTTGTGGATGAGCATTTGCTTATTCTACCAATCAGTCATGTCTCCTGTTCCATAGAATTGACCAATGAAGAAACAGAGGAGCTTAAAAGATACAACTTTTGTATATATAATGCTGGCTAAATTATTATTATTATTGTTATTATTATTATTATTATTATTATTATTATTATTATTATTATTATTATTATTATTATTATTATTATTATTATTATTATTATTATTATTATTAAGGTTTTTATTACTTACCGTCTCCTTTACATATAAGAAAATGTTAAGGCAATATTTTAGTGACACTAGCAAAAATACGGTTATTTTTGAAAGAAATATTGCTTCTCGTCACTTGCAAATTCAAGTTTATTACTATTATTATTATTATTATTATTATTATTATTATTATTATTATTATTATTATTATTATTATTATTATTATTATTATTATTATTATTATTATTATTATTATAAGTATATACCTTTTTTAAGGTTGTGCCTGTACCAGAAAAATTTAACTATGAAGCAATAAAAGAAGAATTCATTGCGCATGCTCAAAACCTTAATTTTGACTTAGAAGAGTTTGATGCTAGCAGTAATATTATTTTTATTTTTTTATTTATAATAGTAGTAGTAGTATAACTATTATTATCGTATATATTAATATTATTATTCTAAAGCGAATTCGTTGGATAATTGCGAATTTTTCTTCGTTGAGTTTTCGGAAGGAAAAGGGCTTTTCTATAAAAAAGATGCTTTTATTCGCTTCCCTTTACAGTTTGGAAGGTGTTAGTAATTATTCTATTACTTTTTATTATTTGATTGTATCTTTATGAAGGCAAGTGTTGGGCTCTCCACAACTTTTGAATTGCCCTGAAAAAGTTGATTGGAGGTTATGCAAATACGAACATGACGAAGAAGAGCTAAAAGTGAAAGAGTTACGAAGAAGACTAGCGAATTACTTATAAACTTGAAGCTTTATTTCTTTTTTTAATAATAATAAATTTGTTTCTGTATCTAATTATTTATTTATATTATGAAAGTATTATATAAAAATTGTTCTCTATTTATACAAATTATACTAATTTCATCTGTTAATAAGCTTTCATTACTTGACCAATAAACGATAAGCGTTAATTTTTTTTACTTAAGTTTGACCAATAACTTTGCTTGTAGCTTCATGTTCAAACCTGAATATGCTTTTTGAGGTTTATTTTATTTTATTTATTTATTTATTAATATTATTTCGTTACGCTTTTGTAAGTCGCATTTAGTCAAGTTGTTATTCAAATAGAGCTATTAGCTTTAATATGGCACCATTTTCGTTACTTTTCAAAAAGACACTTTTCGTTAATTCATATGCATGTAAAAAGATTCAAGTATATAAGCAATCAGTTACAAATTTTTCTTGTCCTTATAGACGTCTACTTTACAAATTTCATTATTAGAAAATAAAAAAGTTTGTCGATTACTTGATTTAAAAAGTTGCTATTAGCGTTTTTTTTTCTTTTTTACGTTTAACAAATGCACGAGAAACAGCTTTACTAAGGGATCATGTATAATTGCAGCCAACTGTAAGGAGACTGTGTAAAGGATACAGATATTTTATATTTTCTTATATATGGGAGTTTGTGGGCACGCTTTAATTTTAATTTTATGTTAGGTAAAAGTTCTACCCAATTTTACAAGCTTTATTGCAAAAGGGGCTATTTTTGTAAAAAAAACTAATTCCTTTTGGGTGCTATAGTTTAATCATAGCGAGTTACGCTTAAAAGTTCAAGAAACAACACTACTAAAAAGTTTATTATCCAGTACAAAGCTTATAAGAAACGCTTCATATTTTCCCACTTGAAATTAAGTTTGGCTATAAAATAGACGTTATATTATTACTAAACAGAAGCGTCTTTTAAATTAGCTAGAAACTCTCGATAGTCAGGGATTAATCAAACTTAAAAAGTTTTAGATTAAGCAGTGAAAATATTTAGCTGCCGTAGTAAGCCAATGCTTAACTAAACATATCACTAAAGGGGACTTTTTCTATAATTCAAACTGAATAAGGCCGACAGTGACAGCAAACTTTAATTAATTTTTTAGTGCGCATATAAAAGTAGAGACCTAAAGATTTGTTTTTTTTTTTAAAGTTTTTAAATTGTTTTTATGTACCAAATTAATTATTTTAAAGATACAAGTTGTGAAAAGGCTTCTATAATGGATTATTATTGCAAACTACTCTTTTTTTAGGCAACTTGTCTACAACAGATTATCTTAAATAGCAAAGTTTACGGATTTTCAGGAAAGTTAACTAAGTTGAGTGTTCAGTAATTTATAAAAATAATAGAAGCTAATTAAGGTTGTTGCCACTGTAAATAATAAATTAACCGTTTTTTGTGTAGTATGAAAATTATGGAGAACTCTTAAATTTACGGGACAACTTCAGATTATTATTTCCAAAAAAGGCCTTTTAACGTACACAAAATAAAATATAAATAAATTATTCTTAGAATTTAATATTTCTGCATTTATAGTGTTTCTTATTATTTGAAGCTTAAAAAATTATAATAATAAATAATTAAGTAAAGATTGTTAATAAGTTATAAGTTACAAAAAAATATTTGAATTAAATTAATATCTTATGACCTATTTCAAAAGCTGGACTATTATAAAGGTTATTAGTAAAACTGGAAGTTATATATAAAAACGAACACACTATTTTACTTAGTACTATTTATTAGTGTTGTGCCCTCAACAGATAAAGTTATAATTAAAAATAAGACAATATTTCGGAGCATCCTAAATATAAAGTTACTTGTGCATTTATTATCATTTTTTTTTTAAATTAGAAATTTAACGATTCAAAATTTTGATATTTTAAAAGTTTAATAATTTAAAAAGGTAGATCTTTACTAGTTTTTAGTTATTTTATTTTTTTAGTTAACCAACTTTTAAATATGAAGTTTTTTTCAAAATATCCTATTATTAAAAAAGTGTTTTTAGTTTTTTATTTACAATATTATTTATTAACTAAAGTAATAATAATTTTGTTGTATAAAAGCCTTTTTATATATTACGTAAGACAATTCTTAAAAAAAATGAAAGATTTTTAAAAATATTTTCCAACCAATTAAAATTTATTAAGAATTATTTCCCTAGAAACCGTTATAACGTTCCTTATTTCTATTGGACGAGCTCTAATTTGTTATTTATTGATTGGTTCTTTACATTTATGAAGTCCGCAAAACTTTTTCCTCGGTTTAAACGCAAAACGGGTAAGTTTTTCATCCAATGGTGCTGTTAAGCCGTCTAGATCACGTGGTCGATTGTCTGGTTCAAGCGCTCCTAAAAATTGGTTTTGACACGTGTTATAACACGTGGTCTCATTTTCAGAAGGTAATGGCATTAGTGTAATTTCGGGAAGAATGGGCGTATCATTGAACGTTTCCTTCATATAATCTTTTAAAAAAATTCATTATTTATTTATTTGTTATTAATATTATGCCTCTTACTGAATATATAAAAGTTTATTTAAAAAAATGAATTTCTTTAGCACTTGGATATCCCTTTTAATAAATACGTCCATTAGCTATTTGGTATAATCGGATATGAATGCAATGAAGTGGACATACAAAAGCAGCTGTACATAATATTGTATACATTCAATTTCTTTAAAGTAGTAAAATTATAAATCATAAAAAAGTTAACCGTGTCATGAAATTTCATGAATTTTATGAAATTTCAAAAAAAAAGTTGAATATTTTTAAAGAATAAAAAGGAAGGGAAACTCAAATAAAAAATTTACTATTTATTAAATATTTATATTTAAAATATACATTTTAATAATAAGAAAAATCGTTTGGTAATAATTTTATATATAAATAAGAACATAATAACTATAGCTTCTACAAACCATAAATCCAAAAATATATACTTTTATAATATTTTATTAAAGTTTTTCTTAATTTAATATTTAATGCAGTGCTTAAAAGTTTTTAATAGTTATATATAATAAAATAAATTTTTTTTTTGTTCAAATATTATATTAAATACAAACTTTTTTTCATTATCATGTCTTAAAGTTTTTAAAAAATATATTAATAAATATAATATTTCTTATTTACCGTTACGAAAAAGTTAACAAAAAACATATATATATCTAAGTAAAGTTTATATATTTTATAATATATTATATATAAATCAATTTATTATTACTAGGAAATAGTTTTGACATTTATAATATATATAAAAATAATAAATATTATTATAGTCATTATAATAAAAAAGTTTGTAATACTTAATATAAAAATAAAATATTCATTATTATTATATTAAAAAGTTTATGATTTTAAATATTTATAAATATAACTTTTACTTTTTTATTCATATAAAAATAAAATATTATTTAATTATTATTATATAAAAGGTTATTTTTTAAATTCATAAAAAATTATGTATACAAAACTTTCATTATTATTATGATATAACATTGCTAGAAAAAAAATTCTATCTTTTCTTTGCTTTAATATATATATATAAAAAAGTTTATAAATAAAAATAATTTAAAAAAAGTTAAAAACTATTAATACCTTGGATGTTTACTTCTGCTGGAAGCAATTCAGTAACGTCTAATCGTTCTAAAATGGACACTTCTAAATTATAATAAAAAATTTTTTTTATAATAATATATAGAGTATAAAAAATATAAAAATAAAGAAAAAATTAATAGAAACAAAAAAAAATAAGAATTGTAATATAGAAATTTTTTTTATATAACATAAAAGTTCCAAAAACTGATATTTACATAATAAATAGCAGTAATAAATATCATTAATAAGTTTAATCATAAACAATTGAATATAAGTTTTTTACAAAAAGTTTAATAAAAGAAGTTATTGTATAAAAATTTATAATATATAAAAAATAATGAGTTTATTAGTAAACAATTAATAAAATACTAATACAAAAAAGTTTATTTTTTTTAAAATATATTAAAAAAATATTATATACTAAACTTTTACTTGTTATAATTATTTTTAATCATTTTTTATATTATTACTATCTAAATATATTATTGTTATTGTTATCGTTATTCTTTAAAAGTATAGTTTAAATATTAAATTATAATTATATTATTAATTATTATTCTTCGGTTTTTTTTATAATTTAATTGCTATTATTATTTGGGATAATTCATATTTTTAAACTTAATAAAAAAAAATATAAAGAAAAGACCACTTAAAAAACCAATAAAGCAAAAAAAAGGCGCATAATGAATAATAGTAAAATTACTGCCTTCTTAAAACTATAAAAATTTTTAATAATTTTTGGTAATTAATATTATTTAAAGTTTTATTATTATATATATATATTTATAGTTTTAATAAAACTTTTATATTGATATTTATTGTATTATATTTTTGAATACTAATATATTAATAACTTTTACTATTATAAATTTATATTCAGAATTTATATATAATAATAATACTTTTTTTTTGCAAGTATATATAAAATAATTATTAGTACTATTAAATATGAACACTAAAAGTATGATAAAAAGATGATTCTTATTTTTACTTGTGCAAATAAAATAATACTAAATATAAATGTTGATGATGGAAACAATATAAAAATATATAGATTTTTAAAAAAAATAACAAAAATTATAAATTTTAAAAAAGGAATATAATAATATAATTAAATAAAGTTAAATATATTACATTATAAAAATTATTTTAAAAGGAAAATAGTTTAAAAATAATATATAAATAAAATAGAGAAACACTAAAATTATTTATATAAAAATTATAATGAAAAGTATATTTATAATAATTATTATAAAAAAATAGTAAAAAGCTTATTAATAAACAGCAAGTAAAAAAAGGAGGGTTTAATAATAATAATAACAATAATTATTATAAATTAAAAACCGAGCAAAAAGTAGTCCTTATCGGGATCGTCAGGAAATAAAGAACGTAAAGGAGACTTTTCAGGGCTAACTGGAGCTCCCTAGTAATAAGAATAACAATAATAATAATAATAGTAATAATAATAATAATAATAATAATAATAATAATAATAATAATAATAATAATAATAATAATAATAATAATAATAATAATAATAATAATAATAATAATAATAATAATAATAATAATAATAATAATAATAATAATAATAATAATAATAATAATAATAATAATAATAATAATAATAATAATAAATACGTGCATAGAAGACTCCATCATCCAAACGGCCATGACAGCGTCCGACAATTCCACGTGCGTTTTGCACATGAGCCGTGCATGCGCTTGAGCCAGTCTTACCTTGTAAAACAATAATAATAAAATTAGAAAGATGTAAATTAATAAAAAAAGAAGCGAATAATAAATATAAAATGACTTTTTGCCAAAAAAAAATTGTATTTATATAATTTGCTTACAAAAAGTTTTTCATTTCAATATAAAATTTTTAATATTATATAAAAACAGCGGTTTTATTATAAGAATAAGAGCGTCAGTGCTATGAAATCCTATTAATACGTTTAGTTTATGCTTAGCAACTATTGTTATAATGATAGTACTAAAAATAATAATAACATTATAACAATAATAATAATAACAATAAAAATAATAATAATAATCTTATAATTATCATATTCATATAATAATAATAATAATAATAATAATAATAATAATAATAATAATAATAATAATAATAATAATAATAATAATAATAATAATAATAATAATAATAATAATAATAATAATAATAATAATAATCTTATAATTATCATATTCATATAATAATAATAATAATAATAATAATAATAATAATAATAATAATAATAATAATAATAATAATAATAATAATAATAATACCAGACTTTCTAGCAGACGGAGTGTAGTTCGTGCGGCATTGCGAAGGTCGGATTGCCGTTGGAGTTGATAATATCTATGAAAAAGTTTATAAGTTTATATAAACATAAATATTTTGACACAGAGTAAAAGTGGTAAATAATAATAATGAATAATAATATAATCATATAATATTTAATATTTTTAAAAAATTTATTAATATATATTTTCTATATTTATTATTACAATATAATGATTTTGAGGATTTTGGTTTTATAATTATATTTATAAATTTTTTATTAAAATCTGATTATTTATTTTTTATAGTAAATATAATAATAATAATAATAATAATAATAATAATAATAATAATAATAATAATAATAATAATAATAATAATAATAATAATAATAATAATAATAATAATAATAATAATAATAATAATAATAATAATAATAATAATAATTAAACTTTTTTAAAACTTTTTCACATTCAGCAGTCATTTGGGGTTCAAGTTTTTTAACGAACGAGATATACGACTTGAGTTTCTCTAGAGACCATTGCCTGCCTCTTCTTTTTCCTTATTATTATTATTAATATTATTATTAATACTACTTTAAAGTTAACTATATTATTACTTTTATATAATTTTATAAGTGTTATCACTAAATTATGATTGTTTATTAATATAGTTATTATTATTTACTTATTATAATCATTAACTCACATAGTTTCAATGATTGTTGTAAATAAGCTAAAATATTATATTTTTTATAATCGTCCAATAAAAGTATAGAAAAATATTCGTATTATGACTTATTCTATAAAAATGTAAATAATAAAAATCAAAAATATTTATAATTAATATATAATTCAATATTATTAGTATAATAAGTAAAGTTATACATTATTATATCTATATTTAAAGTTCATTAACAGTATTTTTAAAAAAACCTAAATAAAAGTAATTCACTACGAATATTAACAAAAAACCAGCCATTACTACCTTTATTCCCGGCATTTTTTAACACGTGGTCAGATACTTCCCTATTTTTTAAAAAAAAAGTTAACTTTAAAAAAAATAATCATAATTTCTATAATTATAGTTCGTTAAAAAATAGACCAATCAAGATGAAAAAATAAAAAAAGCAATGGATTGAACGAATTTGTTAAATTTTATAAATATCTTTTATTGATTGTAATTTTAATAAAATTTCATTAATAATTAGCTAAAAATAATTATAATTGTTGTTATTCTTATTTATATGCATTTGATTTATAGTCCGTTACTATAATATTTTCTTTTTATATTAGAACTCTTTACAACCAGGTTGGACTTTTATGAAAAAAAAAGTATATATTCTATATTTTTTTAAAACATTACAAATGATGTTAACAATTTTTTTTTACTAATAAAAAACACCACATGTGTAATTATATAAAAATTTATGAAAAAAAAGTTTTATAGAAGACTAAATATTATAATTATATTTTTATTTTTAAAAAATTTTTGTTCTACTTTTATGGTAGACATTAATATAAATACTTCTTTTTCTTAATGAAATTCTTTACAACTATCTCATTAGTAGTTGTTTACCTTTTTTTTTTGTTATTTATACAAAAAGATTTCATAAAGAATTGCGCTTAATATTTTTTTTACGTGGACAACAATTTCAAATTTTATTATGACATAGGTTTAATGTTAATATAAAAAATAAATAATAATATTCTTTTAATATCATATGATACGAGCATCGGACTCCCCAAGAATATTAGTAGCGCCAATAATAAAGAAGGCCAATAAGCTTGCGCCGCGCGGAAATTTAAAGTTTAACGGACAAAATTTTTTTTATAAATACATCACAAGCTCGATTTATTGGACAGTTTTAATATACGCCAATCGCCAATATACAAGGATGCAGCGTTTTCTTCGCCTCATTCATAAACAAGGTGGAGCCTTTACGCTTGTAAACTTCCCTACATATATTGACAGACTTTAACTATTTCATTGATTGGACTAAATAGTGGGGTAGGAAAGTTTCATTGAAACCTATTATAATTTACTCTGATTGAAAGTATTTAAATATTTACATCAAAAAATTTCATGTTTTCTAATGAAACTTTTATAACCAAAAGTTATCCAGATTTGCGATCATCTTAATTAACCAATAAAAATTAAAAAAATTGTAAACAGATAATAGTAATAACAACAACAACAACAACAACAACAACAACAACAATAATAATAATAATAATAATAATAATAATAATAATAATAATAATAATAATAATAATAATAATAATAATAATAATAATAATAATAATAATAATAATAATAATAATAATAATAATAATAATAATAATAATAATAATAATAATAATAATAATAATAATAATAATAATTATAGAAACTAAACCTGTCCCAGTGCAAGTCGACCTTATCGAGCATGACGGTGACCAAATCGAATCGGCTCAAGAGAGGGCTCGACAAGGCAGTGTTTATAGTGATATCCTCTTCGATGTCGTACTTCCCTTCATTCGTCAATATCATTATTATTATTATTATTTATTCACTGAATTCTTTCCATAAGTATTTTACTTCATTAGTATTTTTTATATAATCTAGCTAAACTAGCATTTATATAAAAAATATATATAATATATAATTATGAAGATATCTTTTTTTATAACAATATTTATTGTAAAGTAAATGAAATTTATATTATGAAAAATATTGATAACAAAAATATTTTCATTCACAAAACAGTCTTCTCGATAACCAACATTTCATTGAGGAGTAATAAAAAATTATTTTTATAATATTTATTTTTAGTTATAATAGTTGCCTTTGGGGTTGGTGGCAGCTAGTACAATAGCGCGAGTATTCAGTTTACAAACAAGTCCGGCCTAAAAAGTGTATAATAAAATTGATCTACAAAATTAATAATGGAAACATATAAAAGAGTTTTATTAATTATAAAAAATAATAATATAGAAATATAATAAATTTATTTTTAAATACTTATATAAGTAATAATTATAAAAGTAGTTTTTTATATAAAAATTGTGTCAATATTTAGAGGATATATAAAAAAGTTATATTAAAGATGAAAATAAAAATAAAAATAAGCAAAATATATTAAACATAATAATTAAAACCAATAAAAAAATAATATTAAATATATAAAAAATACTTATAAAAAAATGAAATCAGTATTATTAAAAAATTTTTATATAAAGAAAAAAAATTAAAAATGTTATAAAAATTAATAAATAGAGAAAAGATAAATAAAATATTAAACTTTACAAAAAATATATTAATAAATTATTAACACATTAATAATAAAACTATGCATTTTAAAAAAAAATATTATTAAAAAGTTTGATAATAAAAAATAAATGATATGAAAATATAGAAAAAAAATAAAACTTGTAAAGAATATAAAATAAAAAAAAAAGAAAAAAGAATAAATAAATAAATTATTCATTAATAAAACTTTAATTATCATTATGATAACATTAAAGGGTTTTTATAAAAAAACGATAAATAATATACAAATAATACATATCGTAAAACTTCATAATTAAAAATATAATTTTATTAAAAAGTTTTTATAAAAAATAACGTTAAACTATGAAGAATTAAAAAAAAAATAGTGAACTTATAGTAAAATAAATAAAGAAATTATTAATACTTTAATAAGAAACCTGTAATTATAGAAAAGAGTTAAAAAATTATTAATATATAAATCATGATGAACATAAAATTAATAGTAAAAATAGTATGTTGGAAAAATTTTAAAACATTTTCTTATAGTAATAATAATAACAAACTTTTGCTACACTCAAAGTTTGCTGTTCCATTGCTTCGTGGATGGTAGTTCGGTCGTTCTCGCTCATGCTTGCTGGAAAGTAATAATAAAGGCAATACTTAAAATATAAATTCCTTTGATTACAAGTTTCTATAATTTTTTCAGTAATGAACGCAATATAAATGATATATAATTAAAGAGAAAATTTAAAAAGCCAAAAGTATGTTATCAATGTTTAATAACAAAACATTTATAAATAACATTTAAATAATAAATTTTGAAGAAAAAACTAAAATAAGATTTTCTATTAATAATGTTATTCATAAAAATAATACAAATAATAATAATTTTAATAAGACTAATATAACTTTTTATTAACAATTATTAAATGTTCTTTTAAAACGAAAAATTTTAAAATATTAGGTTTAAAAAATTACTCAAAATAAATTTTATTTTGTTAATAATATTTTTATCATAAAACTTATTATAAATTAAAGAAAAAACTTAAAATAATAACACATTTCATAATAAAACTTTAAAAAATAAAACTAGAAAATAATTTTTTTTAAAAAAAACAAACTGTTTATAATAATAAATATATTTTATTATAAAACTTTGATATATAAAATTATATATAATATTTTTAAAAAAAATTATTAATTTTAATAATAATATATGTATTAAAAAAAACTTTAAACAATAAAAATGATAAGTAATTTTTTAAAATTATACACTAATAATAATAAGTGAAGACTTATAATAACAATTGTTAATAATAATATCTTTCCAAAACAAGACATTCCTCAATGTGACGCTAAAATATAAACTTTTTTAAAAACTCAAAATAAAATTTATATTTGTTAGTAATAATAACTATAAATATGTTTATAACAACATATAAATATAACACTAAAAATAATAATTAAAAAAAACTAATAAAATAATATTTTGTTAATGAAAAAATATTATCTACATTAAAACATATTGGTGATAGAACTAAAACCGTAATATAGTAATATGCCGTTAATAATAATAATAAATATTAAAATGTTGTTATAAAAAGCAGCAATAACATTTTCTAAGTCAAAACATTTTAAATTATAATAATAACACTTGAAATTTATAATAACTATATTAATAATTGTTATAGCAAAGCATTTTTAAAGTAACACTAAATGTATTAAGATTTATACTTAATATAATAATGATTTTTATAAAAAATAGCAGCAATAACAATTTTCATTTCAAAACATTTTTGAAAGAAAAACGCTTTAAATATTATAATAAAAACAACTGATAGTAGCAATCATATTAAGGTGTTATGAAATAGTAATAGTATATTGTAATAAAAAATTTTTTAAAAATTAATATAATTAATATAATTAATAAATTTAAAAAAAACTTAAAAAGCTGATAATTTTATATAGAAATCATAATATTTAGATAATAATGAGATAAAATAATAATAATTGAAAATAAGTATTAGTAATATATTTTTTAATAAATTATTATTAAGACACTGAAGTTAACTCTGATAAATCATGTGCTCATATCACTTGGCACATTAAAATGAGTCATTGAAACACATGTTCATGACAAGTGTTTGTCTGTTAGATGCATGTGTCTCTACAAATGACAATAAAATGATTGCTCCTTCTCTTTATCTCCATCAAAACAATGAAAATAATAAAAAAAATTAAAAAAATATTCATCATAATATTAAAATGTTATTTTATTAACCCACGAAATATTATAATAATTAATATATACTTTAATATTATTGGTAAATATAAAAAAGTTTCAATATTTTTTATATTTAAATTATTGCAACAATAATAAAACTAAAGTTAAAAAAAAAATATTATAATATTCTTTTTTTATTTCATATAGTATAATAAATACAAATATTAAAAAACTTTTATAAAAAATAAAAAAAATTGAAAACAGTATTATTATTATTTTAATTAATTAAATAAGAATGGTGAGAAAAAAAATTTCATTATTTTTAGTACCAAACTCATCGATGCAGCAAAGCCCGCCATCCGCCAATACCAAAGCTCCGGCCTCCAGTTGCCATTCGCCAGATTCCTTCATTGCTGCGACGGTCAAGCCCGCAGTGGTGATGCCTGTACCAGAGGTCAGCACAGCACGTGGTACCAGCTTGGATGCGTACTTTAAAAGTTGGGACTTTCCCGTTCCTTCATTAACGGGAAATTAATTAAATTTTAAATTAATAATAATGGTAATAATAATAATAATAATAGTAATAGTAATAATAATAACGTTAAAAATAAAAAGTACCGGGATCCCCAACAAGTAGGAGATGCGATTCTCCACGAATCCGCGTTCCCCCTTTGTCTATTCGAGTAATTCCTCCAATAAGCACGCAAAGAATAGACAGTTTTACTGGGTGAAGAACAAAAATATTATGAACTAAAAATAAAGAAAGTTTATAAAATGAAATATTATAATATGATATAAATAAACAATAAATACGTATTGAGAGAAAAAATTATAAAGATATATATAAAACTGTATAAACTATAAATAAATATTAATAAATTGGAGCAAACAATTATAACAGAATTTTATAGTAAAAAATTACACATATAGGTAAAAATAATAAATAGAGAATAATATTATTATAAAATAAAAAACAATGAAGCAGAAGAGCAAAAAAAATATTAATCATATAAAAGGGAAAAAAACATTAAAAAATAATAAACAATTAGAGTATAATATTATAAAAAGTTAAAAAATAAAACTATTATAAAATTACAAAATCATTAAAAAAAATATTATAAAAGTTTAAACACAAAAATATATAAGCTATTATTATAATATTTAATTTCTTTGATAAATAAAAGAGTTTAAATATATAGTTTTATAAAAAAACTATAAACTAATAAATAGATATAAATTATAAAAACCTTTAATAAAAAGGAAAAATATGTAATTTAATAACAATAAAAACTTAAAAAAAAATATAAAATATATAACGATAATAAAAAAAAGTATAAGTATCAACAGAGCAAAGATAATATTATATTTTCCCTAAGTAAAACAAAAAATATAAAATGTCTTAATAATAAAATAAGTAAAATATAAAACCTTATATTATAAAAATATCTTTAATGAATATATATATACGAAAAATATTTATAAAAAAATATAAAAAATTATACTTTTTTTTTTTACAAAAGTAACAAAATATATAGAATATAATATTAAATAAGAAAATTTTATTATACGTTTCTTTAAAATAATAACCTTAAACAATATAGACATTAATTCATTAATAATACGTTATACTTTTTTTTATTATAAATAACTTTTATATAAAATATACTATTAATAAAAAACTAATGTACTAGGCTTCGATTGAAATATATATGAGATATATAAATAATAAAAAAATAAAATATTTTATACTTTTTCTAGAGAACCTTTTAATAAATATATATAATATATATATTTAAATAATAAAAATCTAAAAAATTATAGTTTTTTGGAAAAACTAATAAAATAAATAAAATATAATAGTTACATATGATATAAGTTAAATAATATAATAAAAAAAAGATGAAATATTTAAAAAATATAAAAATAAATTACCTTTACGTATAATAAAATAATAACTAATTATTAAAATATAATATCCAGAAAAATATTAAACTATACTTTATAACTAAGCCAAAAAATTATCAATAAATAATATTGATAAAGTTAATAAGAAAGTAAATAAATTAATGTTTATTTTATAAATATATACTAAAATAATAACTTAAAGAAATTTATAAATAATATAAAGTATTAAACTACTTTAAATGGAATATATAATTATAAATATTTTATAAAACAAATACACAAATTTTTATGATATATATATATATAAGATATTATAAAAACTATATATAAATAATATATATATTAAACTATTTTCCATTCAATATATAATAAAAAAATACTCAACAAATATATAAATATTTATATGAACACAATATAATAACTGGATATTTCATAAAATATAAAAGTATATAATATATTAAATATATAATAAAAAAATACTCGATAAAAATATATATAAAATTTACGTAAAAAAAAATAAAATATAATATTTTCTATCCCATATTATATATAATAAAATATAAAAAATATAAGATATTAAGCTATATTTAATTAAAAATATATTAAATAATACTCAATAGATATAAATAAATTTAAATGAAATAATATATTTTTTATTATTTATTTTATAATATATTATAGGATATATAAATATTAAACTTTAATTATTATTAAAAATATAATGAATATTTAAATATTATGAAAAATGTTTTTTAAAATAAATAAATTATTATAACTATATATTTTTAAAAATATAAATATATAAAATATTAAAATATGTTATTAGATATATAATAGATAATACTTAATAAAAGAAAATATAAAAATTTATATGGATATAAATAAAATATCGTACTGTTTACTTAATATTATTTATAATAAAATATTAAATAAATTATCTTAATAAAAAGTATTTTAATATATTTTATTATTTTTTAACTCAAATATAAAAAATGTATTTAATAATAAATTTTGTATGTATATATTTAAAAAATATAATGAGAAAATATATCCTTGAATAATATATAATATATGTTAGTAATATAATAAAAACTAATTTTTAAAAAATGAAAAATTTTAATAAATAAATTTGTAATATAATAAAAAAATAAAAAACTTTTATTTAAAAAAGTTCAATAAACAAAATAAGAAACATTAGAAATAAAATTTTTGATAACATAAATAAAAATATAAATTTTTTTTTAATTCAGTAAAATAAAATAATTATAGTAATTATTATAAATATAAAAAATTAAATGACATTAAACAATTTTTTTAACAAAATAATGATATTGAAATAAAAAATATATATATAAAAAATTAAAAAACGTTTGTTAATATTATAAATATAATAATTATAACAATTAAAATCATTATAATAAATTAATAAATAAAATTTTATAAGGAAAAATATATATAAAAAAAAAACAATTACTAAAATAACAAACTTTTATAAATAATTATTAGTATAGTAAATAAATAAATTTATAACTTAAAAACTTAAGTAACAAACTTTTATTTATAATAATAAATACAATAATTATAGCAAAAGATTATTAGTAAAAAAATCAATAAAATAAAATAATAAATAAAATAACTTTAAAATAAAAAAATTAATGGTATCAACTTTTATTGATAATAATTACTATAATGATTATAACACTATTGTAAAATTCTCAACTAATAAATTTTTAAATCTATAATTAAAAAAATTAATAAACATGATAAATAAGTAGAATATATTTATTAATAAATATAAACATAAAAAATATAATAGCTTACAAATAAAAAAATGTTAACCTAACAAACTTTTATTAATAATAATTGCTATAATAACTATAACACCGTAAAAAAAATATTAATAAATATAAATTTTAAAAATCTAACAATAAAATTATTAAAAAATAAATGAATAAAAATATATAAAAATTAAAGTTAACTAAATTAAAAGTAACAAATTTTACTTGTTAACAATTAATATAATAAATCTATAGAAAAATAAATATAAAAAAAATCGGTGTTAAACTTTTTTTTAAAGACCGAAAATATATAATAGAAAAATAAAAAAACTTCAACTAATATGTATATAATATATGTATTTATAATAAATAATATTCATGTAAAAACTTATTAATAAATATATAATATATTTAAAAAAAATTAAAAAAAATATTGATATAAATGGTAATAATTATAATAATATATAAGTAAAATAAATTGACAATAAAAAAATAATGTAAAAAACTTTTATAGATAAATATAAAAAATATAAAAAATTATTTACATTAATATATGAATGTATAAATGCTATACAAAAGTCAATATATAAACTAGTAAATTAATAGATTCTTCTTTTTTAAATATATAGAAATAGAATAGATATACAAAAACACAATAGAGAATATAAGAAACTTTCATTATTAAATATAAATATTAAATAAATAATATGTAAAATACTAATAAACAATAAAAACTTTTAGCATATAATAAATATAAAAAAAATTAAGATAAATAAAATAAAAAATAAGAAACTTATATACTTAAATATTATAAATATAACAAAAACAAAATACAAAATATATAAAGTATATAAAATACTATTAATAAAAATATATATGATAGTGTAACAAAAATTAATATACTAATAAATAAATAAAAAACTTTTACTAATCATTAGAAATTTAATAAATACAATATACATATAATACACATAATAACAACAAAATAAACATGTAAGAAACTTTTATTAATAAAGTGAATACACTAAACATACCGATATACATGCCGTAAAGTTGAGGACAAAAAGAACTCAATATTATATTTCTTCCTTAAAAAAAGTAAAAAAAATTAAATTTAATGCTTAAAAATTTATGAAGAAAAAAATTTGGTAATATAAAAATAAGTAATAAAAAATGTTTACTATAAATATATAATAAAAGTAAAAAAAGGATTAATATTTAAGTTAAAAGTAATATTTTTTTACTACAAAAAAAAAAATAGGTAAAAATATAATAATGGCTAATAAAAGTATAGAAAGTTATAAAAAATGTACATTTTATAATAAAAAATATTAATTATTGTATGTATAAATAAAATTTAATAATAAAATAATTAAATATTAATAAAAAATTATGCATTATGTTGATAATTAAAAGGAAATATAAATATAATATTATAATTTTAACTATTACAGTAAAATAAATAATGATTATAAGAACTATTAAGTTATAAATAATATTAAAAAAAAAGTAAAATGAAAATATAAATTTCTATAAAAATACATATAATAATAAAATGTATATAGTAAAGTAGATAAAAGATATGAATTATAAAAATACTATAATATGTATAAATGTATAAGAAATAATAAAATAATAAAGCCAAAAACTTGATAATAATAAAATAATTAGGTAATAAAGTTTAAAAATAGTAATATAAATGGTAAACTTATCGATACTAATAAATATGTATTAATTAGAGCGTATTTATATAAAATGCCGCATGGCAGTTTCATAGTAAAACAATATAATTACTATAAATATAATGAGAAGGTAAATTAATATTTTTATTAAAAAATAAATTTTCTCAAAATTTTGATAGACATTTAAAAATAATATCAAAAAAAAAATGTTAATAATAATACCAAATTTCGATAATAGTATAAATAAATATAAATACGGTTAACGTATAACAAGAAAAAAAAAGTTATAATATAATGATGATAAAAAGTAGCGCAAATAATAATAAGATAATGATAATAATAATACGAGTCTGTTAGATGATAAAATAAAATACAATCGTAATAATGTTTTGTTAAAAAGAGTTTTTAAAAAAAATATAAAATAATGAATAATAATAATACGAGTCCGTTATAATAAAAGATAATATACGATTTCATAATATACTTAAATAAGTTTAAAATAAATATATATATAATTATTATAATAAAAAATTATAAAATGAGCCTGTTATAATAAAAACTGATATACAATTTAATATTGTTATTAAGAAAAGTTTGAAAAAATATAAAACAAAATTATAATCGAGTTTGTTATAATAAAAATATACCATTTAATATTACTATTATAAAAAAGTTTAAAAAAAAGAATATAAATGAAAAATTATTTTAATACAATTAATAATAATAAAAAAGAATTTTCAATTTGATATTATTATTTAAAATAATTTTCAATATGAAAAGAATACTATAATACGAGTAATAATAATCATAAATAATAGGAGTCTTTTATAATAAAAAAATTAAAAAAATGATTAATATAAACATCTAATAAAAAAAATAACAACACAAATTTGTTATAATGAAAAAGAAATTGTATAAAAATTTGAAAATATTATAATCTTATTAACAATAATAAAAATAATTATAACACGAGTTTATCATAATAGAATATACAATTAAATAAAATTTTTATAGGAAAAGTATAAAAATAAAAAAATAATTATTATTATACAATTAATAATAATAAGAATATATATGATAAAATTAGTTATAATGGAATATAGAATTTAATAATATCATTATAAAAAATTTAAAAAAATAAAAAATTGATTATTGTAATACAATATAATAAAATTATTAAAGGAAGTTCTAATAAAATATAATTGTGATTACTACTATACATTTAATATATAAAATAATAATACGTGCCTTTGTAATAAAAAATAAAAGACAATAGATGAATTATAAAATGAAATAATTATTATAATTCAAATAATACTATATAAACTTAAGAAGTTTAAAATAAAAAGAAAAGAAACTTAACTTAATAGTAAGTTTATCTATAAATAATGTGAAAAGGGAAGGTATAAATAATAAGTAAACTTCTTTCATTCATTTTGGTAATTGTTTATCTTATATTTATTCATTAATAAAAAAGTCAAATGTTATTATAATAAAGTGTTCACTTTTTTATCTGTTTATTAAAAATATTATGAGAAACACTAATAGCAATAATATACCAAAATAAAGAATGTAAAAATACAACAACTGAAATAAGAAATAGAATTAATCAATTTATTTAAAAAGAACCTAACAAGGGCCTGTTTTCGTATTCCTGCCAGAAGTTTCTGAACTCCTCCACAACATCATCGCTTAGAACGCATTCTTTTTTAAGAGGTTGAACTTGCACCAGTGAATTCGCTTTAATAAACTTTGGTGCGTATATTAATAGAAAAACTTTGCTTTATTTTTTTAATGAAAAAATTCTTTCAATTTACATAATATTTTTTTTAATAAAAATTAAGAATTTAAGTTCTAAAGAATTAATATATTTAATATAGTGAATAATATGAAACGTTTTCTTAAGTATATAAGTATTATTATGAGATTTTTTAATTAGTTTATTATTTTTTTTCTTTAAAAATTGTTATAAATATAAAAAAAGTCAAAAATATGAATTAAAAAAAATCATCAGTTTTAGCATAAAAATTTAGGCTTTAAGTAAATGATATTACATAAAATTAAGATTTTTAAATATATTAATAGTTTTTGCCTATTATTAAAAAAAATACTGAAACATGTATTTTTTATTATTATAAAAAAATTGTAAATAAACAAAAATAGAAATATTTAAGTTTTATAAAAATTAAAATTATAATTATAACTATAAAAATAATATTAATAAAATTTTAAACTTCATTTATCAATTTATAAGTTTCTTAATTCATTTATTATTATAAAATAAAATAATTGATATTATAAAAAACTAAAACTAACGAAAACTATAAATAAAAGATAAATAATATATTTTTGTTTTTGTTATATAAAACTATAGTAAATGTCCATTATTATTGTAATAAAATTATTGAAGACTTATTTTTCATAATAAACTAAAATGTTTATAAGTTTTCATTCTAAATCATTTATAAATATTTTCATATAAAGATTATTTACTAACTAAATATAAAAAGTTAAAATAAATATCAATAAAAATAAAATTAGTATATAAAAAGTTAATAAATAAAAATAAAAAAGTTCATATTCATTATTTTTTTTGTAAAAAGCAAACTATTAAAGAAAGTTTTATTATGAAACTTTATTATTTCGGCTAAAAAAATTAAGAAAAAAGTATAAACTTTTATTATTATTATTGCATGAATTTTAATGACATAACAAACTTTATAAATATAAATAATAAACTTTTACGTTTTAGAAAAAGAAGTCATTAATATAAAATTTATATCAATAGTAATGATTTTAAAAAAATTATTAACAAAATTATTTGAATTATTTATATTATAAATTTCATATTAGTATTATTTATAATTTATTATTATGATTATTATCATTGTTAAAAATATTATAATTAACATTATAATAATTATTATAAACATTAACCAGCTCAATAGCGCATCTTTCATTAATACGCAGAGAATCCCACCTTTGAAGAAGAATTCCACTACAAAAAGTAATTATAAACTTTTTTTATAATATAGTATTTATTATTAAAAGTTTTCATATACCATTTCCCGAATAAAGGGAAAATATTATTTTTATATAAAAAACCATGAAAAGTAAATATAAAAGGACATATATTGGTATCGAACTATAATATATTATACTGATAATAAATGATTACTAACTATAATATTAAAAGATGTTACTACTGACAATTACAACAATAAATATGATAATAATAAATTATAATTATAAGAGTAATTATTAAAAAGTAATAATAATAAATACTATCAATAGTAATTATACATCAATTATTATAATAAATAATAGTGATTATTATAAAATAATAAAAATTATAATAAATAATAATAATAAAATTTAATAATAAATACTAACAAACAGTAGTAATTATTTTTAAGAAGTAATAATAATTAGTTATTATTAACACAATAACAATAAAAAACAATAGAAACTTTTAAAAATAATATAGTAAATATAAAGTAATAATAAATAATAGTAATAAAGTTAAAAAAACAGTATTTATAATAATAAGTAATAGTAACTATAATGAAATAATAATAAATATTACGTTATCAGCACGTCGTCACCTGCTTTGCACGAGTCGACTAAGTCCTCCTCAAGTACAACGGATATTGTATGCGGCACGCAGCCAAAGTCAAGATCTTTATATAAAATAAATAAAAATATATAAAAATTTATAGTAAAGATAATAAACGTTATAATAGAAAAGTTAAAAAAAAACCCGCCCACAGGCAAAGTCAAGATCTTTTTATAATAATAAGTATGTATTTATATATAGTTATCAACAACATAAACTTTATAATGGAAGAATCAAAAAAAAAGCACACAGTCAATATTATAATATGTAGATCATATATATACTTGATAATATAATTTTTATAATAAAAAATTAAAGTTGCACATCTTTATTATAATAATAATATATAAACTTGCTAATAATAATAACATTTAATAAAAAGATAAAAAAAGACCAAAATAAAGATTTTTATAAAATATATAAATTTACTTATATATACTTAATAAAAATAAAAAAATAAAACCGCACGCAGTCAAAGTCAAGAGCTTGATTATAGATAAAAATATAAATACTTAATAATAAAACTTTTTATTAAAAATTTTTTTTAAAAAGTTTAATATACAAAAAGAATAGTTTTAAAAATAAATAATAAACGTTGAGGTAATAATAATAAAAAAGTTTTATATAATATACAACGTAGAAAAATAATGTAGAATTGCTAATATTATTAACAACTATTATAAAAGTTATTTTTGTATATAAAAAGTTAAATAGATATAAAAAATATTAATAACATAATAATAATAAATATATTCAACAACTAAATATTTAGTAATATTGTAAATTGATTAAAGAAGAAATAAGTTAATAATAAAAAATAATAAATAACAAAATAACAGATGCTAAAGAAATAATGAAAAATTTATAATAATAAAGCAAGTATATATATAAACACTTAATAACAGAAATAAAATTGATAATAATAATAACAATAAAAGTAATAATAATAAATATAGCAACCAAAATATCGTTAGAATACAGTTCCTATATATAAATAAGCGCACTAAATTGAAACTAATTACGTTAAAAATGCAGTCGGTTAAGAAAACTAATAATAATTAGTACCGATTTTAATATTTTATAAGGTTTACTTTTTACTAAAAAATAATATATATTATTAAAGCAAAAGAAGCGTAAACGTATATAAAAAATAAAAGTTCTCTTAGAAAAGTTGCAGAAATACGCAAATTAATTAATAAAAATAAAAATTACTTAAATATCTAATATAAAACTAACAAAAAATTTCTAATATAATATTATACGAAACTTTTATTATAAAAAAATAATAACAAAATGAAATTTATATTTATTACTGATATTAACTGTAAAACATTTAGATAAAAATAATAATATTTATAGAAAAGAAAAATAAATTTTTATTTAAAATGAAACTATTATATAAAAGTATAAAAAAATTTTATAATACAGTAATAAATATAAATTTTCATAGCAAAAAATAAAGTTATACTGTAATATAAACCTTTTTTAGTAGTAAAAGTGGTAATAATAACTTATAATGAAAAATAAACTTTTTTAAAGTAATAAAAGTAAAAATAACTTTTATTATAAAGAAAGTGATTACTAAAACTTTTTTAATAATTAAAAAATATAATATAAATAAGAAAAATAGCAAATATATTAATAGAAAAAAATTAATGAAATTTAATTTTTTTTAAAGATATTTAAAAAAAAGGGAAACTTTTGTAATAATAAATAATAAACTTAACTTTTTTCAGTATTTAATAAGATATAAATAAACTGTTCCAATAAAAAAATAAAAATGAATAAATTTCTTATATATAAAATATATATTAAAAATAAAAATTTTTCTAAATAAAAATAAATAAAAGAAAAGTAAATGGAAAATTTTTTATAATGCTATAAATATTTTTTAAACTTTATTTAGATATAAACAATAAAATATATTTAAACAGAAATATTTTATAATAAGAAAAGTAATAAAATATTTTAAGTAAATAGAAAACTTTTACGATTAAAAAAATTATAAATTTTTTTATAAATAAAAATATTGAAATTCTATTATAATACTAAAAAAGAATTTTTTTAAAATTTATATACATAAAAAAGATATACATGAATAAATAGAAAAACTTCTAAAAAAATATAAATTATTATAAGCAAGTTATTTTAAGTCAAAATTTAATATAAATACTATAAAAAACTTCTACAATAAAATACAAAAATTTTTATATAAATTTATTAACATAAGAAAATCAAATATAAATAGTAAATTTTTAATAATAGTAATAATAGTGACTTTGCGTTTGCTCTTGAACTTTTATAGTCTGATAATCGCAACAATATTCCGGAATACCGCCTTCAAAATATATTAAAAAAAAAAAATAAAAATTTTAGAAGTAGAAAATTTTATAAAAATCTATATTAGATTATTAAAAATTGAAATAGTAATAAAAAACTTAAATATGAAGTAAATTCTATAAATTTTTTTAAAAAAAAAACTATAAATAATAAAGTGTTAAAATCTTAAAAGTAAATAAACATTGAAATTATTTATTATTAAATAGGAAATATAATACTTTTTATAAATAATAAATAAAACAGTACCATAAAAAATTTTTAATTATAACTTCAATAATATTTATAATGATAAATTGCAGACTATATAATAGTAAAATAATAATAATAAGTTTTCCTTCAATTATATAAAACATACAAAAAGTAGTACTTTTTATATATAATAACTAAAATAAAAATGAAAAAAACGCTCTAATATATGAAATATAAAATTAAAAAATGATATAAAAAAGTTATTTTTAATTTTTTAGTAAATAAATTTATAAAGAAACCAATTATTAATATTAAAAGATAATAAAAATTAATAATATAATAACTTTTTTTAATCCAATATTAAAACATACAAAATGTAATACTTTTTTATAAAAACTAATTAAGAAAACTTTTTAAAAAAAATAAAAAAACTGCTCAAATATATATAATATACAATTAAAAAATAATATAAATATATTTTTAACCAATTATTATTACTATTAAAAAAAGCTATTAAAAAATTAATAGCACAAAAAAAATAATTTATATATATAAAAATAATAATAACTTATAAAAAACTTAAAAACTCAAAAAATGTATCTAAAAATAATGATAACTTGTTTTAAATAATAAATTAAGAGTTTATAACATTTGTATATTTATATTTTTAATAATTCAAATAATAATAAATACCATAATAATTATTATTATAGCACAATTATTACTAATATATATAAAAATAAAATATAATATATAACAGTTGATAAGTAGATAAACAGTTTACTGTAAATATAAATCTAATAAAAGTTAATAATAATATATTTGTATATTTAATAAAACATAGAATAATCGAAATGCCATAATTGTTATTATAGTAAAACTTTTACTAGTATATAAATATATATGTTAATAAGTAAACAAACTGTTTATAATTCTTATTATAATAGGAATAAAATTAACAACATTTAATAATAACTGCTTTCAATTCAATGAAAATTATAATTATAGTAAAAATAATAATGATAACTGTTGGCTTCCACCATGTCCAAAAAACGAACGCCCGTGCAATTTTCTTGAGGGCAGAACTTCGGTTTTGGTATAATATTATTCTGTTCATAACTTATCTATATATATAAAAATATAATAAGCAAAAAAAAAGAAGAATATATAAACATATATATTTACTCCTGTAGATAAAAAGTGAAGTATAAAAATAATAAAAATAAAAAAATATATATAAAGGTAGTAATATCTGAATGTACAAAAAGAGGATGTTACTAATAGCAGTAGTTAAAATAATAGAAAGTAAAGTTTACTAGTATTATTATATATATAATACACTTTGCAATTGGTATAATAAAAAGTAATATAATATATATATATCGTTCTTATAGAGTATTATACTATAAAAATAGATAAAGTTAACTATTTTAAAACTGAAATAAAGAAATAATAATTATTTTCTATATTAACCTGAAAAGTTTACTTTATTTTAAAAATATTAAATAAAAATGGTGTATAAAATTATATATTGAAGTTTTTGAATATTTATAAGTTAATAATAGTATTTATATCTCTTTTTAGATTAGAAAAAGTTCAACATTTCTTAAATAATATCCATTATTTTATTGTAGTACGCCAACATTTATATAACGAAAAAGTTATATACTTAACAGAAGATATATTAATATCGTTTTTCTATATTTTATATAATATTAATATAACTATTAACTAAAAAGCACAATAAAAAAATATGCTACGATTTATATAATGAAAAAGTTTAATACTTAACATAAAAATATTAAAAGATGGTTCTATTATCTTTATATGATAATTAGTATAACTTCACTATAAAGTGCTACGAAAAGTTTAGTAAAATATTTATTACTGTATATATTTACATAATTGTTAGTATAACTTTTGCATTAAGTAGTAACAAATGCAATAAAAAAATACACCATTACTTATATGACGAAAAAGTTTAAAACTTAATAAAAAATTTATTAATATTGTTTTATTATAATTAAAAAAAATATTATTAGTATAACTTTCGCAACTCAATTTTAACAACGCAAGAAAAAAAAAGTTTGCAAGCAAAAATAATAGTAATAACTGATAAAAGACATTTCTTCAAAAGATATATATTGAAATTTACAATCTTCCCTATTCGCTAAAAATTGACCAATAAAAAAATTAGATGTTTTTTTCTTAAGCCGTTATATTTTGTCGCAGTTTACAACGTTTTTTCAATCTATGAGTCTCATACAAGTAGTTAATGACAGTTTTAACTTTTTTTAATGTAATAATTTTCTAAATTTCCTATTTTGATACTTTTTTATAGGCATTTTTAATTATATTATTTGATTCGTTTTCACTAATTTTAATCAGATAAGTAACTAGGAACAAGTCATATATCCAAAAAACGATTTCTACTGGTCAATATTTGTGTTAATTGGCCTTTTTTAAAAGTTCTGGGCTGTTATTAATAAATAAATGACACTACTCAAGGCTTTAGAAACTTTATTTTTCTGCCCTATTAACCAATGCTAGCCCATAAAATTACGCTTTTCTTAATAGTATTACGATTTCACCTAATATTATTGGTATATTTACTTCAAAATACGGTGTATACAAAAAAGTGTCATGCCTTAAAAAAATAATTATAATTAATTTTGAAATGCTTGCGAATTTTTTTTTGAAGTTCTATAGACACTTAAATTGAGTCAACAGTTAGGCTCTTCTAAAGCATTTTTAGGATCTTTAATAGTAATATGTACTGTTAAACAAAAATAAACCAGATATATTCGACTTAAACTTTTTTTACTGTAAAGATTGCCGCTTAACTTAGCTACAATGTGGTTCCTGTGCTTAAAAATAAATTTTCTTTTAAGCCAAATTAAATTATTATTACCATTATTTTTAATAATAATTATTAGTTCTATTGTAATTGCACAAAGTTTGTTAATAAAAGTTATTAAGAACTTCTTTTTACAAGCTAAACACCCAAATATTATTAACTATAAAACTATATATATACTATTATATCCATTTATTATGTAGTACTGTTACAATATATTTTTACTTTTTATTTAGATTAAAGCGGGATCACTCTAAAATTTATAGTACAAATAAATATTAATAATTTAAAATTATATTGCAAAATAATACATTAACGTAAAAAACAGAAGAGCAATTCAAGCAACGAAAAGATCGACGGGACTCTAATAACTTTGAGGCACTTACTCGTACTACGGTAGCTAAATTCGTACAAAAGATAAATCAGTAATAAAGAAATTCTTAGAATTTAAATGCATTTAAAAAATAAATTTTAAAAACCAAAAAGTTTAAAGCTATATATTAAGGATAATTAAGAAATAAAAAAAATTCATAATAAAAAAATGTTAATAGTAAAAGTTAATATAAAAATAGTACCTTGCAAACAAATTAATTTATTAACCATCTTGCAAGTTGGAATTTTGTAAACCACATCATTCCAATCAATAAAACGACAATGAGCTTTCGGCTTATAAGTCTACTTAGAATAAAATTTTTATAATAAAGTTACTGAAAATAAGAAAAGATATTAAGAATAAATTAAATTCAAATACTAAAAAACAGATTACCTAGTACACTATAAAAATAATTATTAAAAAAAAATTACCAATCCGCTCTGATTTTCAAAAGAAAGAATGCGTTTTTGCGACTGAAAAAGTTCATTATCAAAAATTTCAAAGCATTTTTGAGGATGATGAAGTAGAAAACATCCTAAATCCCACTTAACATGAAGAATCTCTGGAATACTTTCAATTTACATAATTATTATATAACTATATAAAGGTGGTGTTGAATGTAAGTTCATTTTTTTCATTATAACCTTAAACAAATTCCGTATGAAATATCATCGCTATCTTCACTTAATATTCTTATAATATCTTGTTTATAGTAGGTTTCAAATAACTCTTTCGCACTTTCTAATATAAAGGGAAGAAAAATCTTTATTTAGTTATAAAACTTTACACGTAATGTACTTGAAATAGAGGTCTGATGTTCCTGTGTTAAAGAACTAAAATAAACTGTCATTTATTTTTATTAATAATAATTAATTATAAAGGTGTACATAATGCGAAGTTATAAAAAAGTTAAAGAATTGCTATTAAAACTAATCAAAATGTTTTAGACACGGGCGCACGTGACTAACTATTACTCTGGATGTGCGATGTAAAATCTTTGTTTATATTTAATAATGAAAATTAGTGTTATTATGTTTGATCATTTTTAATGCTGATGTTATTAATATTTTTCGTTGAAAATTTCTTTTAAGTCTTTGATGGTTGCATTTATAATCACTCATAAATTCTAATACTACATCCCGCTGGTATTTAAAAAACATTAATACTTATCAAGTCAGTAAATAAATAAAGGGGGTAAAGCTTTGACAGATTCATATAGTAGATTTAGAAGCCTCTGTGTGGTCAAAAATTTGAGTTTGAATTTTTTAACCCCTTATAAGTTACCGGTTACTTTGCCATTTGTCGCCTAGGTTCAATTTGCATGAGTTGGAAATTGACCCAAACGACAGGTTCGGTCTCTGAAACAATATCTGGTAAGTTTGAGTACCATGTTCTAACGAATTAGGCAGCAGCCAAGAAAATATAAAAAAAGTGGTAAATTTAGTTACCAGTGAACGTCAAAAGTTGAGCATGTCTTGCGCGATCTTTTTATTGGACAAAAAGTGTTTATTCTGTATGTAAGATTATTTTTGCTTTGATATGTAAGTAAACATTTGTTTTACTGTTTTATTTTTTTTAAAAATATTAATTGGGATATAAAGATCAAATTTTGAAATCAAATATTGGACTTTAAAGTATAGTTTCAACATAGGAAGTGAGTTCGCAGAAAAAAGAAAATCTATTATAAGCCCCAGGGTTTGCTCGTAAAGGGTTAAGGCGACATGGTTATTTGTACGAAAGAGCTTGGTAAATATGTTAAATCTTAGCGTTAACACTAGATAACAAGTTACTAATAAAAATATAATAATAATTATATAACCCTTAGGTAAATATTTATATATTATTTATAATACTATTACGGTATACTACTTTTCCCAGGAAAGGCCCAGTTTGCACACAATAATTAACGAATAAATAGAAGAAGAGAGAGAAAAGAAAAACCATCATATATTCGCGCTACTCCACCGATGCAAGAATTTGCTTCAATTCAAAGTTTAAATCTCGTGTTATTAGCTCACCTTGAAAGCTCGGAAATCCGGACTTTACTCGATCGAGCCCAGTAAATTTTAACTTAAAATAAATAAGCAAACTTCTTTGGAAGAGTGTAGGGCACGCCTGAAATGTTTAAACGTAACTTTAATAAAACCAGCGAAACTTTTTTAAAGACTTCAGATAAAGTTACTTAATTTATTAAATCTCTCAAAGTAATTTTTTTAACTTCTATTAATTATAACAGAGGCTTTTTATAAAATCTGTCCAAGATAGTTTTAAGTTAAGTTTTGAACAACTTTCGCAACTTTTTCCATCTACGGAAGGCATAATCATACTAAAGGCTCGATGTTATTTCCTACTTACTGACTACTTAATTTACATATAATATGACTGGTGCTGTGGTGCTTTTATTAAATGCGTTGTAACATTCAAAGTTAGTAGGAAAGCAGTATTAATTAAAAGTAGAGGTCTATTCTTTACTAATTTTATAGTAATTTTAAGGTGCTGCTGGAGAAAGAATCTCAGTTTACCTGAATGAGAGCTTAAGATTTCCACTTTTTTTTAACTTCAATAAATTGGAAAGGAATTAGTATAACTTTATTATTATTAAATATTTCGAGTTGGTAAATAAAAATACTTCTAACCAAGTTTGGCTCCGACTTTGTACACACTTCATTTTTTTCCTCACATTTTGTCTTCTGTTTTTATACATGAAGGTGTGTTGCAAAAACTTGTGGGTTTGAAGGGTTCTAAACTTTTTGTTCCTGGTAAAATAATATTTTGATATTTTCCTTCTTTTCATAAATGTTGTGTGTATAGGAATGGTACTAAAAACGGACACTGTTAATCATTTTTCTTGGGTGAAAAGTAGTTTTGGAGAGGTAAGTTTTTCTTTTCTATAAAAATTTACTATATAAGAAATACATACTTTACTAAGTTTTTCGCTCATTGTTATACAATTTAGCTTTATTATATATTTTTTTGTGTGTGAGGTAATTTTTTGTTTATAGGTTTTTAAATTTTTTATTATATTACAAAGTACATAAAATTTTATGCTTGTAAGTTTTATAATATTTTTACTAAATATTTTCTTAAGTTATTGTATTAATTTAGTTATATATATTTTTATTTAGTTTTATTTAAATAAAAATATATTTTATTTAATTTAGTTTCAAAAAGGAGATTTAGTCTCCATTAAAATTGAAGACGGTTGGGCAGCAGTCGCGGTAGGCCAATGGTTATACACTATATAACTTTTTCCTTTAGAAATTAAAATTTAAGTAGATTATTATGTCTATAAATTTAATTTAGTACTTTTAAAAAAAGTTTTTAGATTTTCCTTTTTTTAAATGGTTAATATAAATCGTAACAAAATTTATTTTTTTTAAGTATAGCTTTATAATACTTATGATTAACTTAAGAACTTTTTTAATTTACTTTTAATTACTTAGGTTTTAAAGTTTGTTTATGCATGGACTTAAAAAAATTTTAATTTTATAAAATATAATTATAATTAGCTTGTAGATTAATTTTATGTATATTAACTTTATTAGTAGAAATTATAAGTAAGTTTCCACTTCGAAATTATTTATTATTAAAAAATCAATTTGGTTTTTACGAATTTTTCACATATAAAGTTTTTTACTTATTTATATTGGTGTTTATATAACAAATATAACTCATCATTATTAAGTTTTTATTTTCTCATGCCGAATTTTATATATTTTTTAACAAGAAATATTGAGCAATTATCGTGTTTGCATTAACTTTACAATTTTAATAGTTTTATTATTATTATTACTTTAAAAAAGAGTTAAAATACTATTATATTATAATTTTATTATAACTTTTTATTTTTTTGAAAGTTTTGTAAATTTAGATTTATTTTGAAAAGAACTATTATTTGATTTCCTTTTTGTCTTTAACAATATTGAATTTAATTATATATATTGTTAAATTTTATAATTGAACTTTTAATTTTTCAAAAGATTATTATTATAATTATGTAAATAATATAATTTTACTTCTTTTTGAAAAGTTAACCTTTTTATAAAAAATAAAAAGTTTAAATCAGAGAAAAATAAAAAAACGACGAGGTTATTTTATTTTTTTATGTATTTAAATTTTATATTTATCATATATATTATTTGCTTAGTTTTTATCAATATGAACATCATAAATTATACTTTTTTATTTTATCATCAGATTATTTTTTTGGTAAATATTTTTTTTCTTTCAAAATTTTTTTACTAATAATATTAATTTAAATAGCTTTTGTAATATTTATATTGGTTAAAAAAATTTCACTAAAATTTTTATTGAAGGATTCTTTCTTCTGCTGAGCTTGAAGTTCAAGGAAAACGCGGCGTAGCAGTGGAGCTTCTTCATGTTTATAATGACTTTTTATGGATTATGGGTTTTTTTAATAGACCAGCAATGCTGTGAAAGTTATAATAATAGTTACTATAATGATAATAGTGTTAATATAATTATAATATATAAAGTTAATATAAAAATAATAGTTGATTTAAAGGATAATAGTGTAATAGTAATCATAATAATAACAAAATCTAATAATAATTATAATAATTAAAATAACAATAATCTAATAATAAATATAATGATAAAAATATAATAAAATAAATTTAAAAAAAAAATAAATATAATAATAATGATAATAGTAAAATCATATTAATAATAATAATAAATGTAACAAGAAATATATTAATGTAAATAGATTAATAATCATAATAATAACAATAATGATTATCATAAAAATTATTATAAAGGGACTCAAAATCACGAAAATTTGCGCCTATTTGACTCTAAAATAAGCTTAGTTGAACAATTTAATAAACAAATTGGTACTCTAAGAATATGTCTAAGTTAATATCTATTTATATTTTTTATATATTTAAAAAGAAAATATTCAAAAGCTGAAAGTTTATGAAAATTTTTATGGGAAAAATAAAAAGTCATTAAGTGTTACAATATATTTTAAATATTTAGAAATTTTTATAAGAAAACAAACAAGTTATATGCAGTTATTATAATATATTATATGTTAAAATAAAAAGTATTAATAATAATAATTATTATTTATACTTGTAAATACTGTAAAGTTTTTAATGCTACTATTATAATATGTTTAAGTATTAAAGAATTTACACAAGAAATCGAAAAAGTTTTGTATATTATTATTACAATATATTATATATAAAATAAAAAGGCTTAATAATAATTATTATATTTACTTATAACACTGTTAAGTTTTTAATGTCAAGTATTTCGAAACTTTTATAAGGAATTAATAAAGTTATATATAAGTTGAAATAAAAACTAATAATAAAATAATTATTGTAAATTTCTTCATAAAATAAAGATATATTATGTGTTGAAATAAAGTATTATTAATAATTATTATATACACTTGTGGATATTGTAAAGTTTTATATATTATTATTTTAATATGTTATATGTAGAAATAAAAAAATATAAATGGATAAGAATTATTATTATACTTGTAAATATCGTAAAGTTTTTTATATTATTAATATAATTACTATAAGTTATAATAAAAGGTATAATATTTTTATATATACTGGAAATACTGTAAAGGTTTTTATATAAAATGCCATATATTTTATTTTAAAATAGAGGGTATTAAAATATTGTTATATATAACTTGTAAACACTGTAAAGTTTATATGTATCAATAAAATAATAATAGCGCTAAAGTAAATGAAGCAAACATTACTAAAATATCTTCTAATAAAGAAGACATAATTGTAAGTTTATTAATCTCTTTATTATGAGAATTTAATTTCTATACCAGTTAAAGTTTGTCAATCACCAAGAAGATTCGGTTGGACATAATAAAAATAGAAAGGAACTTAAAGAAGGTTATCAGATTGTTACTAACTTCAATGATAATATGTGCAATAAATTATTTTTTTAATATATTTAATAATTACTAATAAAACTGCTTATAATAATAGTAAATATTAAATATTTGAAGTAATTATTATAATTTTTTATTATAAATAATAATGAATATATATTTGATGTTATTAAAATAATATTCCGTTAAAATAATGAACAAAGCAAATTTCTAATATTTTATTTTTTTATTTATTTATAATAATAATAAATGTTAATTAATTAATGTATTAATTTTATTTAGCAAAAATAGCTAGTAATGCCATTTTTCTCAGCAAATTTTTAAATAATTTATTATATTTTTTAATAATGTTTATAATATGAAATACTATAAAAGGTATAAAGTTTATTATTTAAACCGTTTTATTAAAAATATTTATTAGTAAAAAATTTTATTTTTTTTTAACAAAATAATAATAATTATTATTTCAGTTTGATACTAAACGAATGCAACTTTTTTCTAGCTTTTCGTATATAATTAAAATAATTACTTTTGTTTATAATAATACTACTATATATATAAATAAATTATAATTCTAAATTATTAAAATTATTATTATTTTGCAAACTTTTTTTTATCCTTTGTTAATGCTAACTATTAACTAATTATTTATATAAATACCAGATATGAAATACTTTTTTATTTAATAATTAATAAATATTGAACTTTGTCCAATTAAAATATTATTAAAAATGTTATAAAAAAAGAAGTTTTTATTAGATATAGTAAATAATAATAGTTAAAAATTATTTATTATGAAAAACTTTTCATAATAATTATATAAAACTAAATTTGAAAAGCTTTTTTTTACTTTTAAAAAATTATAGATTTTAAATATTTTTCAAATTATTATACAAAAGTATTATTTATATCTAGTACTAAATAATATTCCAAATCAATCTTTTGCAAAAATTTATATCTTTAAATGATAATATAAAATTTTATTAATTAAATTAGTAAAACTTTTTGTAAAAATATAATTGATGTTTAATATAGAATAATTATTACTATCAAAATTGTATTCTTTTAAATTATGTTTTACAAATTATTAATATTGAATACTAAATAATTATGTCTTAAGGTTTAATTTTCTCATAATATTAATAATTAATTTAATATATTAAATTAGTAAAACTTTTTTTTAAGGTATAATAGATTTTTTAATATAAATAATTATTAATTCAAATATTATTTTGTAAAAATTTATATTTTTAATTATAATTTGGTTAAAATTTTTTAATACAAAAATAATTAAAATTTTTTGATAATAATGGTAGCTATTTTCATAATAATAAATGCATAATAATATAGAAAAAGTTTCTGATTTGCTACTTTTGCGAATGTTTTTATTTTGTTTGAGAGATAAAATTACTGCGTCTGATTTGCCCATCGCGACTTCCATTCTTTACCCAAACGTTGTGCTTCCCGTTATTAGGTTCATCCTTTAGTTTAAGAAAATCACTATTTTTCTAGCAAATTATGCATAAAGAGCCAAAGGATTAGTAGTATTCTTGAATAACCACTATATTTGGGGTTAGCGTTATTTTTGCGAGTTTCCTTGGTTTTTTGTAATAAACTAAAATTAATTTTATTTACAAAATTTTTTCCTATTAGTTGACTTAGAAGCAGTAAACTGGTGGGATTTTAAAAAACTGTACAAACTCATTTATACGTGTATTTTTTCTGTGACCCCCAACAAAAATCTTAAAGGCATATTTCGGAGAAATACTTTATTAACAGGCCCTTTTCCGAGTTTTGTTAAAAAAGTAAATACAATTTTTTTTATTAATTATTATTGATTATAATGGAAATTAAAAAAATACAAATTGTTACATAATTTTTATTAATTATAAATAAAATATAAATTCATTTGTTATATATAGAAAAGTTGCTCGTGTATAGTAATAATAATAATGCTAAGCGTCTACCGCACTAAAGTTATCTGGCTTGCATGCTACCAACTTTATAGTGAAGCAGCTAAACTTACTATTTGTAAAAATGTACATTTTTAAAACTGTCCTTTTTATAGATTTTTTTGGCTGTTTTTTATTCGAATTTACCAAATTATAATTTTTTTTTTAATTTGGAGCTAATTTAAAACCCGTTTTTGTAACTGATATGTTTTTATTTTTATGAAAATTACATATTTTTTTTGAGTTGCCTTTATGCAAACTGAACTGTTTCCTTATAAAAAATGTTATAAATTTTATGCATTTGTTGCGAGAAAGACTTTTATATAAATTTTCTTTAAATAAAGATTGTATTATATTTTTTATAACTTTTTTATCTTAAATAAATCACTAACTTAAATATAAATATTCCTTAAAATTTTCTTTAGAGAATTTTATTAAAAATTGTATTTTTAGTGTGAAATTTGATGTTAAATAACTTTTTAGTAAATAATACATTAAGGTTTATTGGGGAGCTAAATGTATACATCACTTCATTAAAAAAATTGCGAAAAGGTTTGCGGGGGGCTAACGTATACAACAACTTGTACACCACCTTTATTAAAAATATTGCTCATCAGCTTAATGCACACCACATTTATTAAAAAAAAATGCTAATAAGCGAATATGTGTATGCCACTTTCACTATAAATAATGCTAAAAATGGGTTGGGCGGGAGCACTTTTTTTTATTGCAAAAGTTTGCTGGAAAAAAAAAATAATAATTTTTATATTTATAATTTTTTTCACAGAATTTTTCGTGTTGAAATTGATATAAAACAAACCACTTATAAAAAGTTCAGTATTTTTTTGGAATATTGCGCCTCTTTGGGCCTTATTGAACTCAATAATCAGAAGGTTATACTTAACTATAATTAAATTTTTTTTAATAATATATGTTCACCAAAAACTTTGCTTAGTCTGCATAAAATTTATAAATAATTTTTTTATTGGTGATAAGTAAGACTAGTGAATATTCATTAAACAGTTACACCCACTAAAAGTAAAGGATTAATGAACAAGCTTTTTATTGATAAAAATAAAAATAGTGAATATTGTTGTATAGCTAAATTCAATAAAACTAAAAATTACTAATAATTTTTTTGTTGGTCAAATATATATTAGTAAATATTTTAATGTAGAATTTATTAATAACTTTTTATTGGTCAAAAATAATAAAGTGATATGCAGGGTATAGCTACATTTAATAAGGTTATTAATAACTTTTTATTGGTTAAATAAAAATAGTGAATACGCGGTGTATAGCTACATTTAAATAAAAATGTAGAAGCTAATAACTTTTTTTTTTTCGCTAAATTTAAGTTAAGTAATATTTATACCAACAGAAAAGTAAAGAATTTATTAATAAATTTTTTATTGGTGAGAAAAATATAGTGAAATATCAGAGTATAGCTACATCCCATAAAAATGTAGAGTTTTTTATGGCTATTTTATTGGTAATAATTAAAAAGCATATATTTAGTGTATACTAAAAAAAAGATTTTATTAATAACTTTTCTATTGGCTAAAAGAAAAATAGTAGATATTTAGTAAATATGAAAATAGTTGAAGCCATATATTAATATGTAAAATAGTTATGTATGACTGGACTAATGTAAGCGAGCAAGAAATATAACTAAATGTATTTTACAGACTACACAAGAGCATTATTGATCTATATCTTTAAATGTTTATATATTCTTTATTTAAGAAAATATAATATTACTTTTCTAATAAATTTTTTTATTATTATTAATATTTTATTAAAAATATTCCTTTAATAATTAATAACTTTTTTTTATTATTATATATCCGTTTAAAAATTTATTTTTTTGTAATGTATCACTTTTTTCATATTATAAACATTCATTAAATATATATATTTCCTAATATGTAACGTTTTTATATTATTATTTTCATTATGAATATTTTCCTTTTTAATTATCAAACGTTTATTATATAATTATTAATATTTTCATTATAAATATACTCCTTTAATAATGATAATATTTTTAATATTTCCGGTATATTCATTAAAATATTATAATTAATAATACTTTAATACTCAATAGTTAACGTTTTTTATATTATTATTAATATTTTTATAACCAATAAATAAAATGAAAAGCATAAAAATATGTATAAATAATATTAATGAATTAACGTATTATAACTAGTAGACACAAAAGATTTACTCCCTTTACGCACTTTGCGCGCTTATAAAATTTTACCATCAGTGAAAATCAAAAAGATCTTGTAAGGAAGTTAGTAAAAAAAAATTATCCATATGTTTAAGAGTTTATAAAACTTTTCGTAGAAAATAGCAACTTTTGTCATTTAAAAAAAATAAAATATTTTTTAAAGTAAATTTTTAGTTAATAATTTATAATAAATAAAAGTTATACTTTTTTTATTTTATTGTACATGAAAAAATTTAAAATTAAAAGTTTATTATTAATAAAAATTTGTTTTTTTATCAAATAATATAAATTTTGTTAGTATTTAAATTTTAACCAATTGGAGGTTTTATAAAACTGTATAGATATTATCAGTAGTAAGTTAACAATTGTCATTCAAACTAATAGCAACTTTTTTAAAACTATTTCTTAATAGTTAGCTAAAAATATATTTTCTAAAGTTTCCTATTAAAATTTTATTAAATTACCAATAGCAGCTTTTAAGAAACTATAAATATTTTTATTGCTGCAGCTTATTAAGAAATCTTTAAATAGCCAATAACATTTTCTTTATAACCTGAATAATTGATCTAATTAAGTTTTACGTTTTTATCCTTTTTAAAATATTTTATTAAATATATTGTGCGTAATTATAAAACAGTTAAACATTTTTAACGGTAATATTAAAAAAATAAATTACTACTTTATATTATAATTGAGTTATTATACTTTTTCCCTTCTGTTTCATTATATTACTATTATCTTAACTTTGTTTGTCTGATATTAATAATTCGTTTGATTTTTAATCCAAAATTGGGTATAGACATCTACTTTTTATTCTACTTATCTTTTTTCGTTATTATTTTATTTCTTCTGACTTTTTATTAATTATTATTATTTCTGGTAGCCTTTTTTTTCTTAACCTTTTTTATTAGACTTTTTATCACAAGAATTATTTTTTATATAGACTTTTTTCTTATTAACTCCTGTATATTTTCTTATTACTTTTGTTTATTATAAAATTTTTACTAGTACAGCCCTTTTTTTTTATTTTTTTACGTTTTTCTAATTATTAATTTATTTTTTTTTCTATTAAATATTTTACCGGCTTTTTTATTTTAGTAATTTGCTATTTTATTTGATAGAATTATTTTTAATACTTAATATAATTATATTTAATAAATATTTACTTTGTGATAAATCTGCTTAAAAAAGTATTAATTATTGTTTAACTTTTATATTTATTTATTTCTGTTTATAGTTTATAATAAAATTACATATTTTAATGTTTTTTTTAAGTTTTTTGCTAATATAAATATTATAAATCTATAATAAATATAGAAAATATAAAGTTTGTGTATAATTATTATACTAAATAGTTTTATTTACTTTATATTATTAATTTTATTAAAAAACAATTTTTTATAAGAATAATGATTCTTTAATATTTTTTTAATTGTAGATTATTTTCTATTTTTATTTATACGTTTCTTTTTATCGAAAAGTATATTTTATTTATATTTTTTATTACTATTTTTAAATATTAATTTTATTGGTTTCATTATTTATAATTTTTTTTTATATTTACATTATTTTTAGGGACAAGTTGGAGTTCAATATTTAATGAAAGTTAACACGAACCACAATTTATTTTCAATTATTGCTGATGAAGTTTTTCCTTCTGAAAAACACGAATGTTTACCTCAAATAGTTTGTCACTTATTATTATTATTTAAATACTCTAAAATTTTTTTATAAAGTTTTGTCATTGTTGCTTTTTATTATTAATAATATACTCCAAACTTATTTTATTAAGTTTTATTATTGTTACCTATTATTTATGAATATTCCAACATAAGTTTAATTATCGTTACTTATTATTTAAACACTTTACAAACTTCATTATAAGTTTTATTATCGTCACTTATTATTATTTATAAATACAGTAAATTTTTCTATATAAAAATATTATTACTTATTTTTTATCGTTAGAAAACTATAAACATTTTTTATAAAATAAAATGTTTTATTATTGTTACTTATTAATGTGAAAAAGTTATTATTCTTATTATTAGTATAATTTTACATACAAAACTTTTCTTTAATAAAATTTTATAATTATTATTATTGCTAATAACATTTTTTATAATAATAAAAATTATTATTAGTATTAAATCCAATTAACTTTTCTTATATACAGTTTTATTGTGGTTACTAATTATTATTGCTAATATAGTTCTTATTATTACAATTATTTTAACATTTTAAATAATATATTTATACTTTGAATAATTTATAAAAATAGTATTTAAGTAAGAAAAAAGAGTTACTGGTGTAAGTTTTACATCTATTTTTCTTATAAATTTTTATTGCAGGAAAAAAGTTTCTAATTATTTATAATATTTATATGTTTTAATTTTTTTAAAGTTTATAGTAACTTTTTATATGAGTATATGATAAATCTTATACAGTTGGTACTATATTGTTGGCAAGTCTTATTCTCGGAAAGCTTTATTTTTTTTATTATAAATGTCTTTTTTTGCGAGATATTAATTTATTATTATTAATGTTTAGTTATTATAATATTAATGAAACTTTTTTGTTATATAAAAAGTTTTTCTTAAATTTAAATACTTAAAGAGAAGGTCATTATTCATTGTTATTACTATTAGTAATAATTATGTTGAGCATTAAGTTTATAATACATTTTTATATACAATAATTATTATGAAAAAATAATTTTTTTATGCTATTTACTTTTTATTACTCTATTTTTTGGCTCTTAAATTCTTTTATATATTTATTATATTTATCAATTTATTTTTATTAAATGTTTTTAATTACTTTATAATATTTATTGTTGGTATTTTTTGTTTTAAAATATTATTTCTATTAAAATTTTATAATATTTAATAAGTTTTTTACTTTTTCTATTATACTAATTCATATAGAACTTTGTGGTACCGAAAAAAGGTCCTCGCGTTATATCCATCCGTTTGGCCAAAATTCGCGGGAATAAAAACGTGACGCTCGTCTCAAATTTGGAAAATTTTGGGTTCATTAATGTTTTTCGTGAACATCATATTTTAAAAAAAATTTTTTTTTTAAATAAATAAAAAATTTTCGATATTTTCAAACTTTTACATTTTTATATATATTAAAATTTTTTTGTTATTTTAAAATATTTTTTTAATCAGATTTAGTAATTTTGGTTTCATAAATGATTTTTTTATGTTATAATCTTAAAACTTTTCACATTTTTTATTATAATTATTGAAGTTATTATGAATATTTAATTAAATATAAAAAATTATAGTTTATAAATTTTTAATTTACATAATTTTTTTTGTAAATGTTATAATTAAAAAACATTTTAAATTGTTTGGAAAATTTTCGGGTTCATATAATTTTTAATTATGCACGGATATAATAATTTTGTAAATGTCATAATTATTAAAACGTTTAATTTTATATATAAAAATTTCCGTTATACAAAAATATTTTTTTATTAAATTAAAAAAATGTTAAGTTTACAATTTTATATTTCAATGAATACTATATTTCTATTAAAAGATATAATTCTAAAATGTCTTCAATTTTTTTATATAATAAAAATTTATCGTTTCGGAATAATCGATAAAAAATATGGAGATTTTTGAATTAATAAATTTATTATTTTTTTATGAATATACTTTTTTCTTGTAATTATAATGTTTAAACATTTTTAAATTTTCGGAAAATTTTGGGTTCATAATATTATTTTTATCCATAAATACAATTTTTTTGTGGATGTAATAATTCTGAAACGTAATAAATTTTTTATATTATAAAAATATTTTGTTATACCGAAAAAATTTTTGGGTTCATAACATTTTTATTTTTTATAATCATTTTTATGTTTTAATTTTTAAATTTCTGTATTTTTTGTATATATATTTATTATTTTAAAATCTTTTTCAATAAATTTGATTGAATTAATGAATTTTTTTCTTTATAAGTATTATTTTTCTTGTAAATGCTTTTTCTATTTAAACGGCTACAATCGTTTGTATAAAAATTTGCTTTATATAAAAATAATTTTTTTAATTTCTATGAAATTCTGACTTCATGAATTTTTTTTATTTTTAATATTATTTTTTTGTTAATGTTATAAGATAAAAAATAAATTTTTTTATATAATAAGTATTTTCCTTATTCTTTATTATTTTTTATTAAATCTGAGAAATTTTGAGTTCATAAATTTTTTTGTAAATGGTATTTTTGGTTTATATATATTTTTTTTTAAAAAATGTTTTAATTTGAAAAACTTACAATTTTATATATATATAAACTTTTATTATTAATAAATTTGGATTCAATAATTTCCCCATGAACATATTTTGTTCTGTTTTCAAATGTTTTTTATTTGCTGAGATATTATTTTGTGATGTATATTAGTAGTTCATAATATAAATTTATATATTATAAAAAACTTTTATTGTAAAAATATTTGTAGTCATTTAATAATAATATAGGCCTCAATTTTCTTTATTTTTTTTTATTTTTTTTTTCTTTATTTATTTATTGCGATTTATTAATATAACATAATATTTATAAAAAATTATATTTAAAAAGTTTTACAGTATCTTTATAAAGCTTTTAATAAAAGTAAAATATAATTTCAATTTTGTTTATCACAAGCATATTTTTACTATATATTCATTGATATATAATTTTTTTATAATTTTATAATAAAAATTCTTTACGTAAGAAAAAAATTATATAATGAAGTTAGCTTTATACAATTTTATAACTTGTTAAATGAAATTACTATATAATAATTATTGTTAATACCAATTTTTTATATGCTATAAACTTTTATATATATTTTATTAAACTTTAAAAATTATAATTATTGTTGATATCAATTTTTGGATAACTATTTTTATAAATTTTGTATATCCACTTAATAAACTATGATATTTTTAACTTTTTTTTTTAAAAAAAAATAAATAATTATCACCTATTGATTTACTATAAAATATTTCATATTTTATAATGAAACTTTAGTTTTTTTTTTATTCCTTTATTAAGACTATATTATGATCACTATTTTTATTATTATCAATTTGTGAATTTCTGTAAACTTTTATATATTTCTATAATAGACTTTGAATTTTATTGAACTTATATAAAATAATTATTATAATTAATATTAATATCATTTTTTCATTTTCTATAAACTTTTTCTTTTCTTTTTTAAATTTTAAATTTTTTAACTTTTTATTTATGATGATTTTTATAACTATTACTATTAATACTAATTTGTGATTTACCATAAACTTTTTAATCTTTTTAATAATTTTTTTTAAGTATCTATTATTTTATTTACTCGTTTTTCAAATTTTTATTTATTTTGATTTAGTAAATATTTATTTACTTCTTATTCATTGCACATTTTTGTTTATATTACGTTATTTTCTTCTACAATATAAATATTATTTTTAATAAAAAAAACTATTTTTTATAGTTTTGATTAATATTATGAATATAATATCATTATTACATATTTATTTAAAAATATAAATTTTATTTTCATTATAGAATATTATTTAAAATACTTTTTATGTATGTTATAAAAAGTTTATTAATAGTTTAATAATAATAACTAATAGAGTTGTTTTTACTTCCGAATTTAAAAAAGAACTTTCCCGAACTTTTTCTGTTTCTGTTTGTTTTTATTCAAACAAACAACAACCGGAAGGCCAAATTATACAAGTTTGATTCAATTTTTTAAAACATTTCAGAAAAATTTTAAGAATTCTTAACATTTTTTAAGCTTCAAGGAAAATATGTGACTCAAATAAAAGATTTTCTTCAAAAAAAGTTTGGAATTCCTAAAAAATTTTTTCAAATTGGTTAAATTTTAAAAAATTTACTTAATTTTTTTTTAAATCGATATTTTTTTTTATAAATAATGAAGATGATAAAGGTGCAACCAAAAAGGACAAAGCTGTAAAAGTTGGCTTTCTTTAAATTTCTACAATATGACAAAATGTGTAATTAAAATAAATAAGTTCACAAACTGAATATTATATTATTATTTTGGTTATAAATGTTATCATAAACATAACTATTATAATTTATTCTTATATTACAATATTATTACTATATGATATTTTTTGATTTAATAATTGGTGACATTTCTTATATGCTTAAAAGTTCTACCCTACTACATTTTTACTAGATGTAAATCAGAAAACTTTTAATTACTGTTTATATTAGACGATTATATTTAACACACAAGCAAAGGCATTTCATAATTATTTTTTCAATTATAATTAATTTGATTTTCTTAATACTTCATTACAAGTATTCTTAAACAACTAAGTAAAATCTATAATAAAGAAATATACATATATAATAAAAAAATTCTTTAACAATTTTAAAATAAATAATTAAATCCTCTTAGGGCACCGCAATAAAGTAGTTATTTTTAAAATTACAATTATAAAAAAAATTTATTGACCTCGAAATTTAGCTAAATTAGGCCTTTCAGAATATATAAAAATTATTATTTAATTATTATTTTATACTCATAAAAAGTTATGTAATAACATAAAATAGCTTGACTATATAAATAAATCATATTTAATATTTATTAGATCATTACTGTATGAAATTTTAAAAATTTTTCTTTCCAAGCATTTGTTTTGAATATAATAAACAAACGCCCCTGTAAAAGTAAAATAGTTAATTAAGAAGAAACTAGGTTGCCTAAGTTATTTACTTCTCATAATTCAGGGCTTTTTAAATATATGTATAAGAAGCAATCTTCCACATAAGTTCAGTGAATTATACAAAAAAAATAATTAGAAATAAAGACATTTTATTAATAGCTTAAATTAAAAGAAACTCTAGTCGTGATTAAACAGTAGAAATTCAACAGTAAAAACCAGGGATATTAAAAGCGTTTCAAGAGGTGCTTTTTAAGTAATAACATATGCGCTACTCTAACAAAAGTACGTAAAAAATGAATAGAAGAAGAAAAGAAAGAGATAACGCAAAAGCAACCGTACTGTAAGTAGATAAAATATAAATCACAGAAAAATGTGAATGGCAATAACAAGGGTTAAATAACAACTCGTACCTGCAAGTTTATTGTAATTGGAGAATTGATATCTAAACTAAAATATTATTGGTTGGTTTTTATTATAATAAAAGCAAAATTTAGTAACGAATAAACCAATTTTTAAAATAAGAAAAAAATACGCCCTAAAGTGGCACTTATTAAAATGACCTAGTATTAAAAATTTAACGGCTGTAAAATATGTAAATAAAATTCTCAGCTGGCCAGGCTTCCGAGAATACAAAAGATAGACATGATATATATTAAAAAAGGATTTTTTTTTTTATAAGCCGGACTCTTAACTTAGCACCAGCAAAGTGGTTGTAGTAGTGTATAAAAACTTAAAAAAAAATTGCTTTGTAGCTGCGCGAAAGCTGTCCTCGAATAGAGCTAAATTTTGTGAAGCTAAATGATTAAAACTTGTTTTTTTTTTTAACATAACTGTAACAATCATAAAAAGTAAAGATAGTAACATATGCTTATTATTAAGTATATTAAATTTTTAATGAAATTTTTTTTCATCGCTAATTGTTCTTATATTTGCGTACGACCCTAAATATTAAATTAGAAAGGGGCGTTATTAAAGCTCGATATACAAGCTGGTGGTGCAGACCGCCCCTTTGCACAAACCACTGCACTTTTGTCATAACGCTGAGCAGTTTGTTTCCATGCACTCGTAGTGCGAATCGTAGATCCATGCGGTGAACGTGTGTTATGTTCGACTAAACGCAAAATACAGACTTTTCCTGTTGCGCAAAGAAAGCTCAGCCCTTCCTACACGTAGGAGATAATAGCAGTTAAGTCACCTTTAGTGACTTCTGGCTATTCTCAGAATCTCACGAAAAATTTAATCTCCTTGAAAGGCCAAAGGCGTCGTTGCATTGTCTTTTTTATACTAAAAGCGCTTTGTTCATAATTGCATTTTACAGTCTCATGCACTTTCTAGGAGGAGGACGACTTATACATCGAGTAAATGATCGCTTAGTCGGCGTATAGAGCGTTAACAGAGGAGGAGAGGAGTAAAAAATTATGGGAGAAACTGCATGGTTATCAAAGATTTGCCAGAACAAAGCGTATCTCTGTAAGCGAGTTGTCTCCGCAACGTTATTGGTCATTGTCAAAGTGCTAGAGGAGTCGTAATTTAAAGGGTGGAGATTTAGGTCGTAATGTCTATGACAGCATCCCAACAGTTACCGCGTACACTAGGCCGAAAAGATAATGAAAACAGCATGCAAATGCGCGAGGAAGCATAGATAATCTAAAGCTGCTAAAGGCATGAGCAATGCCGTTAAGTTTGGGGGCCTCTTGTATCGATAGCGTCTTGTATTGGACAAAAAGAAACCGCCTTACACGGTTGTAAACCATCTAAATTATTTTAAACATATAATTAGTAATTATAAATAGTGCCGATAATGTAGTTTATTAAGATTCAAAAAGACAAGAGGAGAATTTCTCAGCGAGTTCATATCTTTTGACTACGATACCCCTCATAGAAACATCAGTGGATCGTAAGTATAGTATGGGCCCCTGAGTCCCTTGTGAAATTTTCAAAGGTAAAGGCACCGCTACTACTACTTCCAACGTTTTTTAATATGCCGACCGGCTTGAATTCAGTTTGTCTCCGCGCGCATGAATTTTGGTAACAGGAATAAGAGTAGCCATTGACGCGTTTATCAATGTCCTAGTTTGATTTCCATTGGTGCAGCTCCTATTCCGATTTCCTGGTTACGTGCATATCTTGACTAAAAACAAATTACTTGGGAACATATAATAAAAGATGTCTTTAACTACAATACACCGAATCTTAATTTTTATGCTTTTTTTCATAGTACATTTTTGCAAGTTAAACATCCAAAAACTAAAGTATTATATTAGTTTTATATTTGGGGGTACTATACTGTTATCATTAAAATTAGTTTAGCTATTTGCAAGCCTTTTTTAAAGTAGTTTATAAAGCTCACATGATTTTTTATACACACATAATATTAACTTTACTGGGTTTATTCCAACTTTGCTCACCGAAAAAATATCAGAATTAAAAATTTTAAAAGTTTTACGTGCAAAAAAAAATTTTAATATAACTTTGAAGTGTTATAACAACTACCTTCCTCGGGTGGGCCAAAGTTGGCGCGATTTAACAAAAAATTTTTTTTAAAGTTAATTGGTTTATATTTTCTACCTGATATTTGCTACCCAATAAGAACGCGCAATTTTCGAACCAAGGCTGCCTTGTGTCATCACCCTCTCCACAACTCCACTACGACGACCAATTTACTTTGAAAACTTTTAACAATTAGATTTTAACAAATAGAGTTTTTTCCCCCCTCCAATGATGCTAAAACTGTAAAGTTTTTTAGTGGTTATATAAAAAGTTTCCTTTAATAAATAAGTTTTTTCTTGGTTGTACAAGTTTTAAAAAATTTAAACGATGGGCTGCGTAGCCTCAAGTTGTAGAGAAGATGCATCCATTGAACATGACATAAAAAAAGCGCGAAGGGAAGCAAAAAGAGAGTTAAAATTATTACTTTTAGGTTTTTTTTACTAAAAATTAGTTACCTCTTAATAATTTAAGAAATTTAAAATAAATTTTCTAGTTAGTTCTTTTCAAACCAAGTTATAGGTAACTACCTCATTATATGAAATTCATTCCATCTTTACTCTAAATTTAATTTTATTTTTTTGGCCTAAACGCTTATATATCTATTCTTTTTAAACTTATAAACTTATTTATTTAAAATAAAGTTAGAATTTTATAGTTAAATCTTTTATTATATCCGATTTAATATTTCTTTTTTATTTTTTCTTCAAAATTTTAAAATTGTAGGGCCCGGAGAGTCTGGGAAAAGCACAATTTTAAAGCAAGCACGTATTATACACGGAGAAGGATACACTACTAAACAATTCATTGATTTTGCGCCGGTCATCTACTCCAATATTGTTACGGCCATGCAAACTTTAGTATCCCAAATGGACGAATTTGGAGTCAAACCTGAAGATTTTATAAAAGTATATTTACTTTTTAAATAAATTTAATAGATGAAAAGTTTTATAATGAAAAATATTTTTATTTTCTATATGAAATTTAAGTATTGTTTTATTTGTTTTATTATATTTGTTAATCTTTTTATAATGTGGATATTTTCAATTTTTGTATTATTTATGATAATTAATTAAAAATTTTACTTTATAATTTTAATAATTTATTTTTATTATGAATTATTATTTATAAAAAATTCATTAAAATGTAATTACTCTATTTAATTCGACTAAATTTTAATTTTATATAAATTTATTTTTTAATTTCAGCTAATTACGTTTAATATACTATTATATTAATTTTTTATTTTATTATATGTAAAAGTGATATATGTGCATTATTATTTTTTAAAAAAAAATTGTTATAATCTAAAATTCATTTATATTTTATAAAAATTAATCAAGTTATTATATATGTTACTAATTTATATATTATGCAATATTTTTTATACTATAACTTTTTATAACAATATGTTAATTACTTTTTTATTTTATATAAATTTATTTATTTATCATTATTATACATATAAATAAAATTATTTTAGAAAAGAGATAATATAAACTAAATTACTTTATAGTTTAAACTAATTACTTTTTATATGATATAAAACTATTTTATTTATTATATGTATAACTAATATATATACTATGTGTTATTATCAGTAAAAAAAAAATTATTATAAATGGTTTATTTTACAACTAACTAATCAACGTTTATTTTATATTATCTTTATATATTTGTTTATATAAATTATATAAATATAATATTTATAGCTAATATATATTACATATTATTATTCTTATTTAAGTAATTTTTTTTTGTATAATCTAATAACTTTATATAAAAATAAGCGGATTACTTCAAAAATTATTTATATAAAATATAGAATTAACGTATTTATTATAATTTTATTCTATTATATATTCACTTAATATATATTATATTATTATTCCTAAAGGAGTTCTTTAGAGAATCAGCGAAATGTTAATGTATTATCTATAAACTTTATATTTTTTACTAATTATTATTATTACTATTATTATTATTATCATTATAGGAATCTTGCGAGCTTGTCCTCGGCTATACGCCTTCAAGCATTATGGGTTTTCCTACGGAACTAGCGGAAGCCTTAAAAATTTTGTGGAACTCCTCATCCATTCAAGAGTGTTATAGAAAACGCTCCCGCTTCCATTTTAATGATTCTACTAAATAGTTTTGTTTATTTTAATTTATAAAGTTTTCTATTATTTATATTCTTTAAACTTCTTATTATATATTATTTTTTAGCAGTCAAAATAATTTTATCATAAATATATATTACTTTATATATATAAATATTTGGTTTTTATTATTATATATAATAAATATTTACTTTATTATTTTTTTTTATTATGTATATTTTATACTAACAAAATTTTATTTGTTATATTTATATCAATCACTTTAAATTTTTTTATGTTTATTATATTTTTATTCAAACATTTTATATCTTATATTATTTTTTTGAAAATAATTTTATTATAACACTTACATTATATTATTATTATTGTTATTATTATATATTTATATAAATTTATATAAATATATATATCAAATATTAGTATATTAATTTATTTTTCCGTTTTTTTTATTATAATTCGCAAAAAGTCTAGCAAATTTTTTTATTAAACTTCTTTAACTATATTAAAAAATTATATTTTCTTCCAAAAAGCTGCATTTTTTTGATAATTTTTTTTAATGAAAACTGCGAGGCGTTTATAATAAAATGCAAATTCATTTAATTTTTATTACCGCTTTTTTAATAAAAAAAGTTGTCCACAATCACTAAAATCTCCAATAATGTGCTCTTTTAATACCCATGACCCTCGGCAGGGAAAAACTTTTATAAACAATTAAAATCCTCTATCTATTGGCGGATATTATCGAGTTTATAAAAAAATATTTAACGTTCATAAAAGTCTTTTTATTTAATATTATAATTCATTTTTTTTAATTTTTTTTAATTTTATTTTTATATTTTATATTTTTATAATAATATTTATTTTTTTTACTTTAAAACTCTTTGAATAGTTTTATTGCTTTTTTTTGTATATTTTACGTTGTGAAGTTTCTATTATAACACTATTAAATTCAATATTTTTAAATTTTTTGTAAATTTATTTATATATTATATACTTTTATATTTTTTTTAATTTTTTTTGATAAATATATTTTTATGTTTTAAATTTTTTTTATATTTTTTTATTTTTTAATGTTTAAACTTTTTTTTAATACTTTTATAGTATATCCATATATATATTTTTATATAGCTTCATATGTATTTTAATATAAAAAGTTTCTTATATGCTTTTTATTTTTATTTATTTATAAAAAAAAGTTATTTCGAACATCTTGATAGGATTTCAAGTCCAGAGTATATCCCTTCTACTGTAGATATTCTTCATTCTCGAGTGCCCACCACTGGTTGGCCTCTTTTATTCGTAATACTAATATAAACTTTTATTTATAGCTATTGTTATTTTTTTTAGTTTTTATTATTTTGCAGTTATATTTAATATCATTAGTTAGTTTTAATATATTTACAATTATATATAATATTATTTTTTAATACATCTTTAATTATACTTATTCTTATTTCTTAATTTTTTTAAATATAATTATTGTTATTGTATAAATAATAGAAAACTAACAAATAATAATAAGTATTATTGTAAAAATAGAAAAATACGAACATAATAATAATGATTAATATTATAATTATTGTAAAGTTAACTTCTATAAATATTATATTATTGTTTAGTATAACGCCTTTTTTATTTGTTTATTATTAATAATTATTTATTATAATGTTATTAATTATAATAAGTTCACTATTTCATTTTAAATTTTTAATAAAATTTCCTTTTACAAAAATTTATTAGAACTTTTTTTTATTATTATTAAAAATTATCATTTAGATATTTGTTGTTATTATTGATTATTATTATTATAAAAAATTTATATAGTACATATTAACATAATTATTATTAAATGATATTTTTTAATATTTTTAAAAACTTATTGCTTATAATTATTATTATTTAATATTAGTAATTATAAAAAAAAAATTCATTTATTATCTTTATATTATTTAAGGGATTGTTGAGTACAAATTTTCTATTGACGACCTTCACTTAAGGCTATTGGATGTTGGCGGGCAGCGCGCGGAGAGGCGGAAATGGATTCACTGTTTCACTGGAATTACGATGATTATTTTTATGGCTTCTCTTAACGAATACGATCAAGTGTTGTTCGAAGATAGCACCCAAGTAAGTTTTTTTTTTGTAAATTGCTAAAGTTATTATGATGTTGAAAACTTTTTAAGATAATATATATAATAAAAAATTAATGAAACCTTTCATATAAAAATAATATGCAAAACATTTTTTTTTGATTTTATTCTTGTTTATAATATAAATTTTTATTATTTTTTTTATACTAATTAATATATAATTATTATTGAAAGATTTTAAAAATAATCTTCTTTTAATAACGCATAGTAAATCATTTTTTTTTATATTATAATATTGCAACTATTTTTCTATGTAATTATTATTAAGAATTTTAATAATTATGTTTTTATAGTTATTATATTTATTAATAATAACTTATTTTACATATTTATATAGTTTCTTCTCTAATATTTTTATCAATGATAAATTTATATTTTTTATTATTATAAATATTTATAATATAATTTTTCCTTTTAAAATTTTTTATGTATTAAACTATTTTTTATAACTTTAATATTTTTTTTGTATAAATTTTTGCCGGCAATAATTATCATTATTTCTTAATATTTAGAATATTATTTTTTAATACTTTTTATGTACAAAACATATATTATAACTTTAATATTTATTTTTGTATAAATTTTTTTCAGTAATACTTGTTTTTAATAGATATTTATAATATTTTTTTTAATATTTTTTATTTAAAAAACTTTTTTTATAAATTTATTTTTTTGGTATATTTTTTTCATTAAGAATTATTTTTTACAAATAAAATATATTTTTAATATTTTTATATAATAAACTTTTTTTTAAAAACTTTCATTTTTCTTCGTATAATTTTTCAGTAATAATTATTATTTATAAATATTTATAGTACATACTTTTTTAATGCTTTTATGTATTAAACTTTTTTTATTTTTTGTATAATTTTTTAGTAATATAAAATATTTAGAAATATTGATACTTACTTTTTTTTGTTGCTAATTATGCGTTAAACTTTTCTTAATAATTTAAACATTTTGTTTGTATAAATTTTATTTTCAATACATTAATTATTATTAATAAATATATATAATATAATTTTTTTTCCAACTCTTTCAGTATTTAACTTTTTTTTATAATTATTATATACTTATGAATCTTTTGTATAAAATTTTTATAGAAATTATATTTAAAAATATTTATAATATATATTTTTATAATATTTATTATTATTAAACATTTTTTTGTATTAAATTTTTTTTTTGTAATCATTATTATATTATACAATTTTTAGTTCAGTAATTATTGTATTATACAATTTCCATTATTTTATATTAATAAATAATATATTTTTCTAAAATATTATTTATTTTCATACTTTAAAATATATATTATTTTTAAAATTCTTATGATTTTATATTAATAAAAGTAAATATTTATTATTTTTTTACTTTATTACTTATTAATTTTTTTGTTTTTAATTAATTCTATATTCTTATAATATAAATTATAATTTTTTTAAAAAGTAAATTTTATAATATATATGTTTCATATTTATTTATGACAACTTTATTATTTTACTAATTTTACAATAAAATTATAATAATTTTATTTTTTTACTTAAATTAATTGATAACTTTTTAATTATAATTTTTTTATATAAAATATTAAAATTTTTATTATAATAATAATTTTATAGTATATATTTATTTATTTACTTTTTCTATATTTATAACTTTTTTATATCAATTTTTTTTAATTTTTTTTTGATATTATAATATGAATTATTATACTTTTTATTATATATACTTTTTTATTTTTTTACTAAGCTTACTATAATAATTTTCTCTATTTTAATTTTTTATTAGTATTTTTACATTTTTATATATATAAATTATTATTTTTTTCATTATAATAGTAATTATAAAATTCATTCGTCAAAACTTTTTTAACCGAAATATAATATTTTTTAATAATAATCTGTAGAACTTTATAAACTTTTATAACTTTTCAGTTAAAATAATAAGAACAATTTCTTTTATTACTAAAATTTTATAAATTAAATCGTAATAATAGTAAATTTCAGAATTATAACACTAATTTTTATGTTATTATACTTATTATTTTTAAAATATATATTTTCTTTATTAAAATTTTTTAATATTGTTGAAATTAACTTTATTTCTTAAATATATTTTAAAAAATTTTAACGATAGTAACATTTTATTCTTACATAAACTTTCATTTTCTTAAGTTTATTTCAAACTTTTATTATACAGTTTATATTTATATACTATTTTTTTTATTTATTATTCTTGTTAATTATATAAACTTATTTAGTTTGTTATATTTGAATTAATATAAGAAAAATTTTTATGAAAATTATATTAATAACTTAAATAAAAAATTTTAAAATACTTTTAATTAAGATTGCAACTTATAAAAATAATATAAGTTTTTTTATTTTTATTATTTTTATAAAAATAGTAAATAAAATTTTGAGATATTATTTCATATTATTGTAATATCTTTTATTTTTAATAATGATGATTGTTTTTTAAATATTAATAGAAATTATTATTTTTAAATAATTATGCATAAAAAAATAACTTTATCATATTAAAAAAAAATATATTTAACGTCAAAGTTATAATAAATAAAATATGAAATAAATAATATATAATGAATATTTAAGAATATAAAATTAAGAAGAAAAAAGGTAAATATAGACATTATTTATGTTATATATAAATTTTCTATAAATAAAATAAAGAAAAACGTTAAAGAATAATTAATAATACCAATAAATTATATTAAAAAAAAAGTTTGAATAAAATATAAATATATAAAATATTATTAAAATGGAATAAAATAAATATTTAATAATAATAATAATATAAAATACTTATATAATAAAAATATATTTTTAAGAATACTAATTATTATCAATAAAAAGTTTATATACAAAAAATAAATTTAATAAAATTATTAACTCACATTATAATAATATAATATAATATATTTTAAAAATATTAATTACTATCAATAAAAAAGTTCTTATACAAGAAAAATATTTAATAATAATAAAAAAATTAAAGTACATTATTTATTAAACTAAAATAATATAAACCTTTTTAATTTTTTTTCATAATAATTATAATAAAATAAAAATTTTTTAATAAAATTTTTTTTACTTTCTAATAATTAATTAATTATTTTTATAATTATATAAAGTAATGATCATATACTTTACTTTTATTATTTATATTATAACGATAATTATTACATTGTTTTTTATATAATAATTATGATAACCTCTATATTTTTTTCATAATATTTTTAATAATATAGTTTTTACTTTATAATATTTATATTTTCATTTTTATAATAATGTAAAGTTATTATTATATACTTTACTTTTAAATAATTATTATAACGATAATTATTACATCGTTTTTTATATAATTATTATAATATTATAATTTTTACTTACTAATAATTATTTTTTATTTTTATATACTTTACTTTTATTAATTATGAAAAAATAATTATATAACTTCATAAGTTATAAAAACATTTATTATATCGTTTATTAATAATTGTTATAATAATAACTTAAAAATTTTTTACTTTTTTTAAGAAATGTTTTATTTTTAAGTAATCATCATTATTATATAAATTTTTTTGCTGAAATTTATATATATTATATTTTCTATTGTATCTATGATTTTTTAATATATTTTTTATTTATTTATTAATAGTAATACCAATTTTTCTTTTTATAACATAAAAGTTTTTCTTATTTTTTTATTTTAATTTTAAATTTATATCCAAAACAATAATAATTATATATTTTCTATTAATAATAAATATATATAATATATTTTTTTTTGTATTAGCATTAATTTTTTTTATAACGGTAATCATTTATTTTCTTTTATAATTAATTTTTTTGTATTATATCTACTTCCTTTTTATATTTTAATAAAGTTAATAAAACTATTAAAATAATTCGTAATAAATTTAAAAAGACTTATATTTTAATATAATATCGTGTGAAAAAAAAAGTTACTCTTTTAATATTTTTTTTAATAGAAACAAAAAAGTTGCAAAAAACTTCAGGAGTTAAATGAAATTTAAAAAAACCAAATTTAACAAAATTTTAAAAAATTGATTTAGAGAAAAAAAAATTTAAATGAAATCTAAAAAAATATAAAAAATGCGCTTTTAAGTTTTTATTGTCAACTTTATTAGAAAAAATTATAACTATCTATTAAAATCTTATTCTGGAAAAAAATATTATCGTTAATTTTATATATGAATGATAGCAATATAAAAGTTTTTTTTATTATTATAAATAAAAATATTATATATTTTTATTTTAATTAAATAATATATAATTGTAATATAATTTTAATAAATAGAAATAAAAAAAATTATAGTATATTTTATATAAATAGTTGCATGACTTAAACTTTTAATTATTAGAAATAAAAATTTAACATTTTTATAAATATTATAGAATAGAATTATATATTTTTTCATAAATAGTCATGAAAAACTAAACATTTATATTTTTATAATAATATTTTGATATTTTTTTGGGGAATATATTTATTATTTAAAGATGATAAAAAAAAGAAAAGAAAAATAATTGAATAACAAATTCAATAATACTGACGATAAAAAATATTTATATTTTATTTACTACTTTATAATTTTATAAGTTATAATTTCTTTATTAAAATAATAATTCATATTAATTTTATTATAATTTTTTTTTAATATTTTTTTTTATTTTAATAAAATTTAATTTTAACTGAATTTTGATTTAATTTTTTTAATTATTTTTATTATATTTTCATTATTTTAGAATTTTGTAAGTCATATAGTTTTTAATTAAAGAAATAATACATAAATTTTATATTGATTCTTCTGTACTTTTTTCTACTTTTTTGTTTAAAAAAATTATTTTTAATTTGAAATTTTATTTCCTTTTTTTATAAGTATTTAATTATTTATTATTATTTTAATGTTTTATAAATTTTTAGTAATAACTTTCTTTTAAAATATTAAGTAATATAAATTTTATATTATTTCTTTTATAATATTTTTTTTTAGTTTATTTTTAATTTTTTTTAATTTTTTTTTATCAATACATAATTATATTATAACTATTTATTACCCTAAACACTTATATTTGCTTTATTATATTTAAAACTTTATTCTATTATTTTTTTTTTGCTTTTAAAAATTTGTTATTAAGTATCTATTTACTTTTTATTCTAACATTTTTTTATAAATATATAATAAAATTTATTAATAATTATTATATTCAATATTAATATCAATTATAAATGTTTTTTTGCGATTTAATGTGAAAATTACTTATTTTTATTCTTTTTGTTTATTATATTTTTCCTGTTTTTGTAGATTTATTAACTTATTATTTCTTCTTTTCATCTATATAATACTGTTTATTCATTATTGTTAATAATATTTATAATAATAAATTTATTTTCTTGCTGTTTTAACTATATAACTATTTTTTTTTTAATTTGCTTTGTTAATATTTTTTTTGTTTTTATATATTTATTTGCTTTTTATTACTTATTTTATATTATAATTATACTAAATTATATTTGTATTTTTATTTAATATTAATACTTATTATCATAAATAATTCTTTGCAGTTTTTTATCTAAAATAATTTTTTTTTAATTAAAGTTTTTTTTATATAGTATTTATTCAAGTTTTCATTTTTTAAAATTTTTTTTTATAAATATTATAACTTTATTTTTATTTCACGCTATATTTATTAATTTCATATTTTTGTATATAAATGAAAAATTATTTTTTGTTTTATTTATTATTTTTTATTTAGTATTAATATTTATTTATTACTAACTTTTTAATAAAGTTATGCTGATATTTAAATAAATTTATATTTATTGTTAATAAATTATCTATTTTCTTTATTAACTACTTTTTTTTAATATTACTTTTTTATATTTTAGTAAAATTTCTACAAAAATTTAATATATATTATTATAGATTTTCTTGCATTTCTTATATCAAACTATTTTTCATTTTATTTGTTTTGCTTAATTTAGTATTTTATTTACTATTATAAAAATATTTTTGGTTTTTATTTAAAAATTTATTGATACTTAAAGTTATATTTTTCTAGGTTATTTATTATTATGAAAATCCTTTTGTTATAGATATTTAATATTATAATTTTGTGAATATTTATACGCTGTTGGTTATTTTCTTTTTAATGTTTTATATTTATTTATTATCACTAGTTTATACTCTATATGATAATATATTTTTATATTGTATTATAAAATATTTATTTTATTTATTACTTTTATTATATATACATACGTCATTGTTATAATACTATTAAATACTTTTTTAATTATTATATTTTATATTATTTATGCTTTTATGTATTTATTATTAGAAAATTCTTAAAACTTTCTTTGTTTATGTATTCTTTATATAAAATTTTCGTAACTTTTAAATTTATATATTTTTTCAAAAATAAGACATTTTATTATAAAATATTTATATTTTTTATATGTAAAATATATTATTATATTCTATAAAGTTTTTATGAATAATATATTTACTTTTATTATAATCTTTCTTGTCCTACTATTTTTTTAAAAACTTTTTACATATATCTATTTCTATTTTTTATATACACTTTTATAATGAACATTATTATTATATTTTATAATATTTTTAAATAAATTACTTTTATATTTATGTAATACATAATACTTTATAAGATTCTCTATTTTTTATAGTTTCTAAAAATATTTTTAATATATTTTTGTAGAGCCGCATGCGTGAAAGTATAGCGCTTTTCGCTTGTATTGTGAACTATGAATGGTTTTGGGAAACTTCTTTTATTCTTTTTCTTAATAAAATGGACTTGTTTGATGAAAAATTATCGACAACACCGTTTGGAGAATTCTTTCCCGAATATAAAGGTTTTACTTTTTTCATTACTAACAAAAAAAGTAAAAAAAATGTAAAATATATAGGAAAAAACATTTTTCCGAAATAAGAAAAAATATAAAATTTACTATAAAATATATTAAAAAATTGTTTTTAGAAGAAAACAGTTAAAAAACGTGCACTTTTTAATATTTAAAAGTTATAAATAATTTAAAATAAAAGAATGTTTGTATATTTTTTTAATATTAATAAAGAAATATATACAATAAAAAAATAAGAAATGTAAAAAGTAGAATATATTCTTTAGTAAATATTTAAAGTAATAAAATAAAATAATCATAATTATTGTTAAGAATATTTAAAAAAAATTATGTGTTTCTGCCATTTTTAAAAATTATTAAAATATTATTTATTATATACTTTTTTAAAAAAAGTTTACATGAAAATGTATATACAGTTTATAGGTAACTTTTATATAATAAAAATTTTATATAAAAAAATTTTTTTTAAAAGGATTTTTTTATTATTGTTTATCTTCTATTATATATTATTTATCTAATAAATAAGAAGAAATGTTTTTTTTTAAGTATTAAAAATGGAAATAAAAATATTGTATACAAATAAGATAAACTTATGTTATTCCTATTATTTAATAATAATTATTATTATAATGCAAATAAGAATTTTATAGGTAACTATAGTATAAACTTTTTTCAATAAAACATAATAATTGAAAATAATATTTTGTCAATACAATAAAAGTATAACTTAATAAAGCAGTCTATTTACAAAATGTTCACAAGACTTTTAACCAATGAAAAGTAAAATATTTTACAACCAATAAAATTTAATAATGATAATAAGAATTTTAGTTAAGACAATATTTTTTAATTTCAAAAAATAATATTAATAAAAAAATTTTGCACTATCATAATTAGAAATTGTAGTAACAAAAGTTAATAATTATAATAGTAACGTTTAAAATATAATAATAATGAGAATAATAAAGGAAAAATTAAAACTATAAAGTAATAATTGTATATTAATATAATTATTTTAGTATTAATATTAATTAAGTAACAATAACAATAATGATAATAACAGCAACACATATTTTATTGGTAGGCTTAAGTTTAATGCAGACTTTTATAGGCTCGTTGAAACATATAATGTTTCTTATAAAAAAAAAGTTTAATACTAATAATTTTGTTTTATTTCTAAAATCGTAAAGTTTAATAATTGTATACTAAATATATGTAAACATTTTGTATACATAACCTTAATATTTTTTCATTATGTTTAGTGCCTATATATATATTTTATAAAACTTTTAATTTTCTTTTTATATTAAATATTATGATAACTCTATTATTTTCAGGTGATCCCAAAAACTCGGAGGAGGTTAAGTGGTACGTTATGAAAATGTTCTTCGCACTTTCAAAAAATCAGGAAAAAACTATCTACTCGCATTTCACCTGCGCGACGGACACGGAGTATATGGAAAATATTTTTCAGGCCGTTCGCGATTCTATACTCCAAATTAATTTGAGGAATTATAATTTGATTTGAATTTTGATTGTATCACCCAAAATAAAGATATCAAAATATTACTATTAATTACAGTTATTATTATTAGTATTACTGTTATTATTTTCCTTCATTTTTTCTTTTCCCGTTTAACTTGAATTTTTACTCCGAAACAAAAGAGTTTTTTTTTGCTTAGCTGGACCCTACTCGCCCGTTTATGGAGGCAGAGATTATTAAATAATATTAATAAATAATAATGAATGATATTATTACTAATATTTTTATATAAAATAAAAATATTAAAAAAAAATTTATACTGAAAGTATAAAATTATTAAAAATATAATATATGAAAGTAAATGTTTGATATTAATAAAACCTATATAATCTATAAAAATATTTGACATTTTTTTAAAGTAAAAGTATGAAAATATTATAAAATATTATATAAAAATAAATGTTTAACGTTACTAATAAAATTATATATTGTATAAAAACATATTAATTTTTTTTTAAACTAAAAGTATAATATTAGTGGAAAAATAATATTTAAAAAAGATACAAAAATTCCTTCTTACGAAATAATATAACTTGCCACCGGGAAGATTATATTACTTCTATTAATTTCTATAGTTTAAGTTTTTATTAAAATTATTGTATCCAAATCTCCTACGCGTAGTTTACGGGATTAAACTATAGCGCCTTTCAGCAAATTAGACGGCGCTTGCACCAGATCTTAAAAAGTGCTTTGGTGGGCAGTACTTTCACATAACGTAAGTATAAGCTTAAAGCGTGACTAAAATAGTTTAAATTTCAAAATATTGATGGCAACAATATTTCAAAAGTATGTATCCTGTCTATGGTCTCTGCACAGTTGGCTGCAATTTATACAGGATCTTCTATTGAACAGTTTGTGCGCATCTCCAACGAAATAAGCAAACTTTGAAAGTGCTTAATTAATTAATTTCTAAGTATTGTAATCTTATTAACAGAAATTATTATATACATTTTCATACTTTTATTTAATTTATGTTGGTTAACATTAATAAATCATGTGCTCATACCACCTGGTACTTTATGTTATGTGCCATAATAGTATGTGAATTGCTCAGGTGTCACCTCACGTGTTGTATTCTCTCCCACATTTCCTAACGACGCCTGCCCTACCTCTGCGGGATAATAACTTGATTCTCTTTTTTCGTAATAAGCCGTCCAGCTACTTAACCCCGACCTTAAGCATCCTAAATATATATTTTTTATAATGCTACTTACTACTTTTAAGAGTGTCCAACACGTTTATAATATGTTGGTCTATAAAAGACTGTATTGGCTCACATTTTCGGTATATGACAAAAAGCATAAAAAAAAACACTACACTGAACTAAATATAATAATAATTTTACAACAATTATGGAAACTTACAACTGCTATACATTAAAAAATAAAAAAATTATCGTTATATCTATACACTTATAGACATTTATAAAGATTAAAGACAGAAAATAATTTAAACGATAACAAAAAAACACAAGAGTACAGAAAAACAAAACAAAAACATTAAATTATTACTAAAGAAATGATTCGTTTAAACCAGTCACCATCTAGAAACTCAATGAAAAAACGGGTTAAGGAAATTAATATTTTACCAGCATATTTAAGTTCCCTCTTTTACCATATACGTACAAAATTAACAAAATAAATATATAAATTTAAAAATTTTTTAAAGGTGTATATACAAGCGAATAGTTGATAAAGGAGAGGTAATACTTCGAAAATATTACTCTTATTTTTTGCTTTAACTTTATTCATTTGCTAAAACACTCACCACTTAAGATCAAAATACTTTTTGTAAAACTTAAAATTTTCGTGACTACTTAATTGTTTTCTTCTAAACAAAATAATCAGTTTGTTCCCACCACGCATACTTTGCATTAACTTATTTATCCTAGCTTCTTCTTTATAACGAGTTGAACGAATTTATCTCTCGTTTAGTGCCATATTAAAAAACTTTTTTTGTCGATACTTTTTCTAGATTCGCGTTTTTCTTCTCCTTTCGCTTTTCGAGTTGAACTTTATAGGTCATTTTGTCTCTATCGTGGTTGCCTCGTACAATAAAATAACGTTATGCTCTTATTATTAGCAGTCAGTTGTTGCAACTTGTCTTCTTTCTAAAAATTTCACCCGTTATACACTTTTTATTAAAACTGCTTTTCGGTAAATCTTCCATAAACATCTTGCGAGACTCTTTCACCTCCCCGTTAGTCAATATCGCCAGTTTAATTTGGTCCTAGTATATTTTAAATTTTCCTTACTATTAAAAACGACTTCTCTACTTTTATAAAACGATTAATGTCACTTAGAAGGACTGATACTAGCAAATAAAATAGACGCACTTTTATAAATCTCGGAAAACCTATACTAGTTTCTAATTCACTTTTTTATTCCTATTATGTTCGTGGTACTTTTAACACGCCAATAAATAAAGCTTTTTATAACAATTTAGGTGTGTTTTATTAAATATACTCGCAAAATCCTAGCTTTTAACTACTTTTTTTATAATTTCTATATCGGTTACTCTCATTACAAGCTATATATATATATATAGTACATATTATTGTCTAATATTTATTGCTTATTAATAGTTTTTCTCTAATATCTAAATGAACTGATATATTTATGAGCGCTCCTAATTATGTGTTTATAAGTTTACATGCCATATACATTCTTCTTTACTGTGAAAATTAACAACCCATTTTTACATAATACGACAGGACGCCTTAATATTTTTAATATTGAAACGTAAACATTATCGGAGTAATAGGAAATGTAATTGTTCTTTATTATTTCTTGCTCTTAACATTAAAAATAACCTTTAATAAGCTATAAAAGCTAAGTTACAGCACGGATTCAAAACATGCCTAACTTATTTTACTTCTTTGGTCAAATGACTCTTTTAACTATTCTTTGTTAAAATTTTAAAAAAAAAAATAAAAAATACCTTATTTAATGTTAATAATAATATTATATATAGATAACGCTCACTGGCTTTGTGAAGCTTTGCTTTTGTTTTCTCTGCTCTACCGCTTTTGGGCTCCTAAAGCTTCTCCCCCTATTGTTAAATTGGACTATTAGATAGATGTGTTCTTTATAATTGTTCTCTATATACTCTTCTCCTTTTTATAGCCTAACATACGTTCATATTTAACAAAGCTTTGTATTAGTTTCCCCTACTATTTCCAACTGCTATGTAAAATAGAATCCACGAACTTATAAGTACGATAAGCCATGTTTAAGGTTTTGAGCTACCAAGTCATACCGTCTTTTTGCTCTGATGCTATATAGTTTTCGTCCTCCCCACGCTATTCATCGCTAATATTACCAAAAATATAATATTAGTAAAAAATATTCTTGTCCGCGCCAACTATGAACATCT